ATGAATTGCTATTAGGTATTAACATCAAAATGTTTAGACTTTATTGAAGAAAATATTCGTAGGTTATATTCGGTTATACTTAACCATACGTAGGTTATTTCCTACGTAAAATATACGTAGGAAAATTAAAGAATATATACGTTGTTACATGGATACAATTAGAACATTTCACAGAGAGTAAATATTAGCACGGAGAACAATTAGTGTTGGAAACTGTGAATGTCGGTTCACTGGTTCATTATCAGTTTAGTTAGTATGCTACAGGAAGCAACGCAAGATAGTACTGGCGCTACATAATAAACACTATTATTTATATAAATAAATAATATTAATGACTATTTATATAAAGAGATAGATACTCTCTCTTATATAAATCGCCTGTATGTCTTAATTTCTCTTTGTCTTGAGTTGCTTGAACAATCCTCCTTATAAATTCTGCTCCATGTAACACTACTTAGCCTTTATAATACCCACTCTTAGCCTTTATAATACCCACTGTCCTATGCTTACAAAACAAGTCACAACCAAAAGGCTTAACAATCCTTGGCTTACAAAGGGAATACTTAAATCTATTAATAAAAAACATGACCTTGAGAAAAAGTATAGGTTAGAATTTACCCAAATAAAGAGCAACATTAAACAAACATGGAGAACAATTTCACAAATATTGGGATCAAAAAAGTCTTTAAATAGCAAACCGACTCTCCTGTCTAATAACGATGGTCAGCTTTCAGCCTCTGATTCTGCTATTGAGTTCAATAGGTTCTTCTCTTCCATTGGTTCATCCCTTGCTAATGATATTCCATCTTCCAGTACTGACATTAAGGACTATCTTACAGGGAACTATCCCCAGTCTCTGTACCTAAAGCCTATTAATTCCATTGACGTCAATGAGATAATCCTTTCCCTTAAAACCAAGTCTGGTGCCCTTGAGGAGATACCAACTTTAATCTACAAAAAAGCCTCCAGATCTTTAGCCCCTGCTATTGCTTTGCTCTTCAACAAGTCACTTGAACTCCAAACCTTTCCAGATATTCTAAAAAAAGCGAGAGTAACGCCTGTCCACAAATGTGGTGATCTCACAGATGTTAACAACTACAGACCTATATCAATCCTGCCAAACTTGTCAAAAATTTTTGAAAAACTAATCTATAAGCAGCTTTACTCATATCTAGCCAAACTCAATATACTTAGCCCTTGCCAATATGGCTTCAGGCCCAAAAAAAGCACTAACGATGCACTTATTAGTATGCTTAACTCGATTCATACAGCTCTTGATAAAAATGAGTTCCCTGTTGGGTTATTTGTGGACCTGCGTAAAGCTTTCGATACTGTCAACCACCAAAACCTTCTTCTTAAATTACATCATTATGGTGTCAGAGGACACTCCCTACAATACCTCAAATCCTACCTTACTGACAGGCTCCAATGTGTTTCTGTGAATAATACAATTTCGCCCACCCTACCCATCAACATTGGTGTTCCCCAGGGCAGCATACTTGGCCCTCTCCTCTTTCTCATCTACATTAATGACCTTCCAAATGCCTCCCAACACCTCAAACCAATCCTATTTGCTGACGACACAACCTTCATTTACTCCAGTCCTGATCCCCTTGCTCTAAATGCCACAGTAAATACTGAGCTAAATAAAGTCCATCTGTGGCTAACTGCCAACAAACTCACCCTTAACATTGACAAAACTTTCTATATTCTGTTTGGCAATAAATCCTCTAATCAAATAAATCTCAAAATAAACAATACCCAAATTTGTAACAAATTAGATGGCAAATTCCTTGGCATTCTCATTGACCACAAGCTGAATTTCCAGGGACACATTCTAAACATATCAAAAAAAGTTTCAAAAACTGTGGGCATTCTTTCTAAGATCAGATATTATGTACCACGCCCTGCCCTGGTGACTCTCTATTACTCCCTTATCTATCCATATCTCAACTATGGTATTTGTGCTTGGGGCTCTACTACCCAAAATCACTTACGTCCTCTAATTACTCAACACAAAGCTGCTATTAGGACAATATCCAACTCTGGCCCCAGACATCACTCGGTACCCCTACTCAAATCTCTGAATATGTTAGACATTAAGTCACTGCACATTCACTCATGTGTATTATACATATACAAAACGCTAAATTGTAATGCCAATCCTGATCTCAAAAGCTTCATAGAAGGTTGTAACAGAACCCATGAGCACCACACCAGAAATAAATACAGTTTTGATATTCCTAGAGTACGACTTAATCAAACCAGAAATGCTCTACAAATCAAGGGGCCCAGGATGTGGAATGACCTTCCCAACCATGTTAAAGACAGTACCTCTCTCAACCAGTTTAAGTTAAAAACGAAGCTATACCTAATAAATTCCATGTAACCTACCTTACCCTTCTATTGTCAACCCATGTATGTTTTTTGTTTTTTTTTTTTTTGTTTTACAAATCAACGCTGTTTTAATGTAATTTTCTGTAATAATTTATAATTGTATTTGTGCTGTTTTTTCAACAATGTTCCCCCCCTCTTTTACCTCTATTTTTATTTGTACTCAACGCATTTTTTTCTTTTTACCCATTAGTTTTAAGCTTTAGTCAGTAGTGTTTTTTCCTGCCCGAAACGCTTTGCGTAATAGTGGCTTTAGGCATTGTATGTACTAGCTCTATCTATAAAGCCAACAAACTTTGTAAAATCTCTTTATGTATGTACCTTTGCCTAAATAAAAATTATTATTATATATTATTATTATTATTATACTTCTTTACTGTGCCCACTTCTGTGAACTTCATCATGTTCTTTAATGCTGCTAATCTGTATTTTACTTTGTAGTTTTACTTTATAGCTTATTACATTTTTGTAGTTTTACTTTATAGTTCAGTAAAATAATTGTTTACCATTTTGTTTCGCTTGAACTCGGAAATGTACAGCAAGAGGTGCAGCCCACTTCTCGGTGTATATACACAGAGTTCACTTTAGTCCTGGACTTTGTTTAGGACTAATGTAACTCTGTTGGCTTATATTATAGGTATAGGTATAGCTTGCCCTACGAGACCGACCCCTTCCCCTCCCCCCCCAAAAAAAAAAAAATCCATCCATTTACAGATCTCCAGTATCAGCTATTGGTAATGGCTCCAAAGAGCCTCCACTTACGGGCAATTCATGCCCGTGCCACCTTTTGGGTGGCTTAATCTTTATCAATCAATCAATCAACAGTTGAGGCCCAACTCCCACACCAGAACACTAGAAGCCTCGCTACGGAACACAGAGCCCTCTCGCCCTCGTTCCAGCTCACCAACCTCGGCCTCGTTTAAGCTCTTGGATCCAGGCTTCGCACAAGCTCTCGGCTACCGGCCACCTTCATCACCACATCCTAACTGATTCCGTCAGCAGCACGGAACAAGCATCCTCGTCTCAACCTATCACGACACGTCATACCATTTCTTACATCCAACTGCTGTAACGAAACTATATTAAATAAACATACAAACTACCATACTCTGTCGTACACGTTACTCCCGCCTCGACCCAGCCATATTACCAGACGGACTCAGCCGCCGTCTGACCTAACTGCCCAGGCGGAATCAGCCGCCAGCCAGCCTGCTTCACTTAGTTACTAGTTCATCAATACTGAAACCTAGCTAAAAAAAATTGTGAGTTCAGTTCCTGAGCCCATTATGTCCCCCTGTAATATTTTCCACTATGGCTTACCGGATAGGGATGGGGGTGCATAATAAATGAAACTCGAGTTATTTTATTCAGTTATTTAGTCATTTTATTTTATTTGTTTTATAACTAAAACTTGGGAGCTTATGACAGGAAGAGAGATAGAGGGAGAGGAAGCTTGCTATCCAGTACATGTAGCACTGAGCGATGATAAGAGGCCGCCATTCTCAGCAGCGTGTGTTAATAATTTGTCTGTGTAGTAACTGTTACCTAAAATATAGTTTAGTTAGCTCATATTTTATAGTTAAAAGTCTCATGTGGCGCTGATCTGGGTGTGAGAAATACTAATGTATGTAAGTTTACAGTTCGGTAACATTCATATCTGGAAAATCTATCATATATATTGTGTGGTAATATATTAATTAGGTCATGCAAGAGAGTAAAAGCTAATAGAAAAAGATCAAAAACTAATAAAAAAATAAGGAAGATATAGAAAGCTAACGAAGAAGAGATAGGAACCTAATATGGAAGAGATAAAAAGCTAACATGGAAGAGATAGAAAGCTAACATGGAAGAGATAGAAAGTTAACATGGAAGAGATAGAAAGCTAACATGGAAGAGAAAGATAACGAGGAAGAGATTACTAACAAGGAAGACAGTTTATGGTACAATTTATGGTCCTCTACAAAATTTATGTACCAGAAAGGAATTTTTTTGAATGCAACAGTTCATTTATGTACGTTTAACCAATAGTTACTATAAGTACTATCATTTTTGCTTGAGTGTACTTGAATTTACTCGAGAGCCATTATCTCAAACGTGGCCTCAACTAGGACAGGAAACCGGCGGTTTGGATGATAGGTTGGTAAAACGACTGAACTAGGAGTTAGATCAGATACATATTCTGCGGTTTGAGGGCCACCATTTTATTAGTGGCCTCGACAGGGACAAGAATCCGGCGGTTTGTCAAGGCTCCCCTTGACAAGTTATGCCTCCCCAGGCATAACTGGCTGACCCCTCACAGTGTTCAAGAGAGAACTGGATAAGCACCTCCAAAGGCAACCCGTTCTCGCAAATTTAATAAGTCAATATTGACTTATTAAATATGTGCATAGGTGACATACTTAACATAATAGATACCCTTAAAAAGATTCATAGAAAACACCGACCTTACCTAACCTTGTTAGTATCTTAAGATAAGCATCTTATTGCTTCGTAATTACAATTATTACTTAACCTATACCTGTAAGGATTATTTATATGACATATTTCCCGGTTAAACCTACACATTTCTTATGTAATTGTTAATGATGTGACGCTTCCATTGACAGGAGGACTTCCACTACGAGTTTACTGAGTGTGATGACGAGGGCGGCCGGTGGAGAGTGAGTGTACCCAGTCCTGATACTTGTGAGGGCGGGGCTCCCAACCCTCCCAAACGCACACGCGACTGTAGTGAGTAACTCATCACCCTCTCATGTTAATACCTCACGTTCTCTCTCTCAGCTATATAGTCGTAATGGCTTGGTGCTTTCCTCTTGATAGTTCCCTTCTCCCTACCCTCTCCCTCTCTTCTGTAACATACGATTATGTTACGTTGTTGGGTAGATTAGATACACAGTGTTCAGTGGGTTTTCATATCTATTTAGTAGTCTTGGTTACAACAGTCGGTTGTTGGCAGTGTCGTAGGCGTTGAGACGGAGCTTGGAACAGAGCAGAGAGCTGAGTGAGGCCGGAATCGCAGAGTTCGATGTGGGTGAGCGTGGCGGTTCTATTGGGAATCGTGAGTGTCTAAACTCGGTGGGGTCGTAGTCTGCTGTCTGCTCTGTGTCGAAGCCGGAGTGTCTTGGGGTCGATTAGAACTTTTTTTTTTTGTGAACTGCATACACAGAGTGCTACATTCTTGAGGTTGAAGAGGTGTGGTAATTCCGAAGCGTCTTTACTGAAGTTAACTGAATCACTGTGGAAATTATACTGGTTATTAATTGATTGATGAAGATTAAGCCACCCAAAAGGTGGCACGGACATGAATGAGTGGTGGCCCTTTTGAGCCATTACCAGTATCATTAGCTGATAATGGAGAGCTGTGGAGGTGCGACTGCACCTTGCGTGACGGGAGATGTCTCCCGTGGGTTATTAATTGCTTCTCGATTGCTTATATTATTGGACTACACTTCAGCTTCCTCCAATAGGATGGAAGAAGTGTTACCTGTAATTAGGGAAAAGATTTGATTGATGTCATTATTGCTAATGAGAGATTTGCTTCTCTCATTTAGCTAATGAGGTTGGAGCGAGTAAATTGTTTACATAATTTACTTGCTACACTTCTCTCTTCTCTCTCTCTCTCTCTCTCTCTCTCTCTCTCTCTCTCTCTCTCTCTCTCTCTCTCTCTCTCTCTCTCTCTCTCTCTCTCTCTCTCTCTCTCTCTCTCTCAAGCAACGTCATTGTTGTTTCTAGTAAAACTGCAACCTAATCTATATTATAAAAGAGAATGTCTGTTTATCTGGTTGTCCGTTCAAGTTGGAAACCGCACGGTTGAGGTTAGCCTCACCCAAATTAGCAGAGGGAATGGACTGGGGTACGGGATGAACATAGGCTGGTCGGTGTCACCAGAATTCAAAAGGGAACAGCGTGCCAGTGCCACATTCAGACCCCGCCACCACTCCACAACGATTTTTGGCACTGTCGGCCAGTTACAAAAATAAATATTTTCAAAACAAAATTTCTTATAGTAATATTCACCATTATTTACTGATCTTAGAAAAATTAACAGAAATTTTCCTGCTGTCAATAACCTGTATGCCCGTACTCGCATAAAACCCTTCAGCTTCAAGTTTATAGTTGAAGGTTGTATGTGTTTTACATACAACCTTCAACATACATACATATATAATAGTATATAGAAGGTTGTAACAGAACCCATGAGCACCGCACCAGAAATAAATACAGTTTTGATATTCCAAGAGTACGACTTAATCAAACTAGAAATGCTCTACAAATCAAGGGACCCAGAATGTGGAATGACCTTCCCAACCATGTTAAAGACTGTACCTCTCTCAACCAGTTTAAGATAAAAACGAAGCTCTACCTAATAAATTCCCTGTAACCTTCCTTACCCCTCTATTGTCAACCCATGTCTGTTTTTTTTTTTAAACAACGCTGTTTGTCGACCTAATTGTATTTGTGCTGCTTTTTCAGCCATGTTTCCCCCCTTTTTTATCTCTATTTTTATTTGTTCTCAACACATTTTATTGTTTATACTCAATTAGTATTAAGCTTTAGTCATTTAAGTTTTCCATGCCCGAAACGCTTTGCGTAATAGTGGCTTTAGGCATTGTTTGTACTAGCCCTATCTATAAATCCATCATTCTTTGTAAAATCTCTTGTATGTATGTACCTTACCTAAATAAACATTTATTATTTATTTATTTATTTATTTATCAAGCCACGGCCCTTTATTTACCTGAATTACCTGAGGGGTCCTCCCTTTCTATCCCCTTACATCAAGACCTAAGGAATAGCAGCCATCATATGATATACAAATTATAAAGGTCTGATAAAATAGTTTCGTGAGGTAAAATATTATATGCTGGTTTACTTAATGAAATGAGATTTACCTGAGGGCCATCATCTATCTAGTGGCCTCGAGTGGGACAGGAAGCTGTTTTTCCTGATAATTTTTTTCAACTGGATTTTGGACTGCAATAAGGTCTTGTTATTTACGGCTTCGGCGGGTAGGCAGTTCCATGAGTGTATAACCTTGTGGGTGAAAAAGTATGTAACAAGTGTATTATGTCAGTAATATACTTGCTCCAAACTCTCATTAGCTTATGTGCAGCTAATGAGATGGGTCTTGTAACGTACGATTATGTTACGATGTTGGGTAGATTAGATACACAGTGTTTAGTGGATTTTCATATTTATTTAGTAGTCTTGGATACAACAGTGTCGTAGACGTTGAGGCGGAGCTTGGAGCAGAGCAGAGAACTGAGTGAGGCTGGAGTCATGGAGCTCTATGTTGGAGAGCATGGCGGCTCAATGGGGAATCGTGTGTCTAAACTCGATGGGGAGCAAGAGCGTTGTAGCTCGATGCGGTCGTTGTCTGCTCTGTGTCGAAGCTGTAGCATCTTGGGTTGGTTGGAACTGTACACGCCGATTGCTACATTCTTGAGGTTGAAGAGGTGTGGTAACTCCCAAGCGTTTGTACCAAACTTAACTGAATCACTGTGGAAATTGTACTGTTGGCTATTGATTGATAAATATTAAGCCACCCAAGAGGTGGCACGGGCATGAATTGCCCGTAAAGTGTTGGCTATTTGAAAATTGAAATTGAAATGTTTATTCAGGTAAAGTACATACATACAGGGTGTGATACAAATGTTGATGAATTTATAGATAGAGTTAGTACATACAATGCCTAAAGCCACTATTACGCAAAGCGTTTCGGGCTATTCGCGTCTCGATGCTTATATTATTGGACTATACCTCAGCTTCCTCCCATAGGATGGAGAGAATGTTACCTGTAATTAGGGGAAAGATTATAGTTTGCAATTAGTGCTAATTGAGTTTGTCATTAATGTAATGAGAAGTTGGAGCGAGTATATTGTTTACTCGCTACAGTCTGTTAATTCTACTTAGTCCACTAATTATTAATTCATACCTGTTCAAGATGTAACAACTTTATTACAAGTTGTAATAAGCGGAAAAAAAGAGACAGTTTCGGTTTGTGTTTCCAGGGTTATGTTCTTAGAACACGAAACAATAGGAATAAATTAGATAAGTTTAGATTAAGGAAAGACTTGGGTAAATACTGGTTCGGTAACAGGGTTGTTGATTTGTGGAACCAACGTAGTGGAGGTGGGCTCCCTCGATTGTTTCAAACATGGGATGGACATGTATATGAGTGGGAATGGGTGGTTATAAATAGGAGCTGCCTCGTATGGGCCAATAGGCCTTCTGCAGTTACCATTGTTCTTATGTTCCCTAATTAGAGTTAACACTGCTTCCCTACCTGCTAGAGGATTGTGAGGTGTGTGAACCGATTATATAAGCAATCGATAAACAAATAATTAATTGTTTTTTGTTCCCAGTAGCTGAGTCTTAAACAACAAATAATTTATTACGGGCTATTCATGCCCGTGCCGCCTCTTGGGTGGCTTAATCTTCATCAATTATCAATCGACACGGGAGACATCTCCCGTCACGCAGGGTGCAGCCGCACCTCCACAGATCTCCAGAATCAGCTCTTGATACTGGTAATGGCTCAAAAGGGCCACCACTTACGGGCTATTCATGCCCGTGCCACCTTTTGGGTGGCTTAATCTTCATCAATCAATCAATCATCAATCGAATAATCATCCAATCTCACCGAAAGAAAAAACGGAAGGCCTTGAAGTTTACACTTAACCCACCAGCTCCGTAACTGCATGGTACAGCCAGCCCTCCGCGGCTGAAATACACCATTGAGACCCTAATCCATCCACAAATCTTTCATAAAGAATAGCACATAGACTAGGGAAGCAGCACATTACTGTGTATACCTAAGCTTGTTAATAAAAAAATAGCCCTGCTACTTGGAACGTTTTGTTCCAAGTAGCTGAACAACAACAACATCTGAAACAACAACAGAACAATCAAAACATGGGAGACATCTCCCGTCACGCAGGGTGCAGTCGCACCTCCACAGATCTCCTGTATCATCTATTGATACTGGTAATGGCTCAAAAGGGCCACCACTTACCGGCTATCCATACCCGTACCTCCTTTTGGGTGGCTTAATCTTTATCAATCAACAATCAAAAGTCTAATTTCATGAGTGGTTCATTACAGACGCTTGAGAGTTACCACACATTTTCAACATACATCAACAAGAATGTAACACTGGACGTGTCCAGTTCCTACTCTCACAAGATGCTTCAGCCTCAACACAGCAGACTTCGGCCGCATCGAGCTTCCACGCTCTCGTCCCGCAACGAACTCCTCCACTCAGCCCACTTTCACAGCACAACGCTCTACGACTCGCCCCGCACCGGAGCTCCATCCCCTGGCGTCACTCGGCTCTCTGGCCTGGCTTCGTCTCAATTTGTACGACATTGCCAACAAACCGACTGATGTAACCAAGACTACTTAATAAATAATAAAAAACCACTAAACTCTCTAATCAACCAAACACCTACAGTACGTAATCTTACGTTACAAGTATCTCCTATTTTCTGTTCTACATTGTGGCTTAACATTTGTCTAGGCTTAGACATTAGTCCAGGTAATATGCATGCAAAAATATTCTTAGTGTAATGGTTAATGTAATGACACCTCCTTTCAGGTGTGTCATGTGATCCAGGATGGTTCTTCAACCGATCTGAGCTGGAGTGTGAGCTCTGCCCTAATGGCACCTACTCCCTGGGTGGTGGAGTCAACTTCGACTCCTGGAAGACTCTTCCAAGGGGTTTTAGCTCCTACACTGAGGCCTTCAGATCAAGCTTCAACTTAGGAAGGTGGCGTGGTGATGTGGATTGTAGTGAGTAAGTTAAAGAGACTTGATTTTGATGTTTGACTCTTACAGTCATTGATGGAATTGCGGACAGGGGGGAATAGCCTATACTTGTTTGTGTGTTATTATTATGGATGGATCTCTTGTGGTCCCCGAGCAGTTAGTTTAGCATATTTATTATGCACTGCATACCAATCCTGTGGGCAGTGATGGAAAGGGTTACAGAGGCACATAATGGACTCAGGGAATGAACCCCAACATTCATTTAGCTAAGCATGTTAAAATTTTGATGAGCTAGTTACGGAATTCAGTGCACATCGTGACATCAACAATGTGCTCGACTGACCACAAGTGCAGTCTCTAAATTAAGCAACTACGTATATGTGGAGAACTAGTGTCATAATTGATTGGTTTATCCTCCTCACCACCCCTTAACCAGTGGGCAGCAGTGGAAGGGTTACAGTTACCCAGTTACTTCCTACAGCTAGCAAACTGTGGATATGTGGCTAAAATTTCTGGTAGCATAAATAAATTCTGGATACAGCTTTAGCATTGTTACAACTGATATGAGTGGGACTCTATGGGGTACTGGTACTATTAAGGGGTATAGGTAGTTAGAAGACAGGAGTATCAAATATGGGAGAGCTAAAAGGCCCGGCCCCCAAAATAAACTATCCACAGTAGTAATAACTTGCTACAAGACCAAATATGTTAGTCTAAGGGTTGATCACTGCGCTCCCACCTTGGAAGAAGAGATACTCTGTAATTCATGTACTTATTTATTAACCCGTTAACAACACCCCATATACACTCACACCAATAACAATAATAATAATAACTTTACCACACTATCTTACGTTAAAAGCCTTGTTCCACATAGGCAGGATACAAGGTTTACACTAATAACAAGCTAGGGTAAAGTACTACTGGATAAGCCCTGAAGCTGGATGCAGCTTAGGGTAGTGAGACCACGTGGGACCCTAATACAAAACACGAACACTTAGGGTAAACAAAACACTGGCAAATACTAACCCCAGGTCTCACCAATAGTTACTACCAGAGTAGGCACACTTACACCATATAATACTTAACTTAAGGGTACAGGAACTTCAGGTAAGGGAAATAAGTAAGAGGAGAAGGAAGGAGAGTAGGGATACAGCCACAGAGTAGGTCTTAACCTCACGCCACCAGCCAAGAGAAGACCGAGCTCCTCGCGACCACCTGGCCTCCCTCATGTCGTGGTGCCGGAAGGAGCCTAATTGATCGTGCAGCTAAGCACATTAAAGATCTTCCCCTATGCAACGTATTGTTACTTTATGAATGATTAGAAAGTATTAGTAAGCAAAGTTGGTGCCTATGTTATTATTTAATAATCAACCCCCAGCTCAGTCTTTAAATGCTTTGAGAAACAATAATAGTCTTACGTCTGGCAGGGAAGATACAAACAATTTCCATTCGAAATGCGCCAACTGTACTACTTAGGAAGTTTAATAGCTCAATTTTGACCTCTGGTTTCCACTGGAGAACCCAGGGTCGTAACAAGCATAAACATATGGACTTACAGCCTTAGCATAAACATATGGACTCGGGTGGACTCTGTTCCCAAATCCCATTTCCATAGCTGCTTACATAGATATATAAAAACTGTCTTATGCAATGTATCGTCATACAGTGACTCCACTCGAGCTTTTGCAGATAAAAACAATATTGTAAACGTATCCTCCAAAAAACGATAGTAAATATTTATCTGAATTTACCTGAGGAACACCATTTCTAGTGGCCTTGATGGGAAAGGAAACCCCCCCCCCCAAAAAAAAAAATCTATTTTTTTCAAAGTTGCTATATATACAATACCTGTACTATCATTTTGAAGGAAGAGTTGAATATGTAATACAGAAAGCTGTTAAGTACAGTACAGTACTAAAGTGTCCTATCCTAACCAACCAGAGGACCCACAAACACAAAACAGGACATTGGCTCCATCACTGTCACAAAATGGTTGTGTCCAGAATGCAAATATGTCATCTGAACATACATTTTAAAAATCAAATCGAATTTCATTAATATTTAAAGTAATGCAAAAGTCCATAAGGCTCAAGGCAGAGCATTTGACATCTTCAGACTTCATGAAGGAGAGGCATGGGACATGCCTCTCTTCAGGGGGTCACTCAGCTGACCCCGATCCTCCCTACAATGCTCTCAATAAAGAAATCATTAATCCTGCAAAGATTAATGAGGCTAGTCCCAAGCGTCTGGCCTCCAAACTCAGACGCAGACATTCTGTTTTACAGATATAGATATTAGAAGTATTTTTCTTTTATTCCCAAATTTCAACAGCAATATGATCAAAGAAATGTCTGAATTGATGCACAAACTCTGAAGACATAGCTACATCACAAATATTTTGTGATGCTATTTCATGAGATTGTCATATGTTGGATATACAGTACACTACAGTGCAGTACTTGTATATGTATGCAGTAAATCTCAGTTTGCAATTAATATTGATGCCAGTTGCTCTATTCAAAATAACTGTTGTGTACCATATTTATTATTTCTTTGAGATCCTTAAATAATGACAGTAGTGAAAATAAAGCGTGTGATATGTGTGTGGTACAGGTATGGCTGGCAAGCCAAGGGTGACGTGCTGGCCAGTGAGGGTGGACAGTGTGCGGCTGTCCTGGTTTTTACTGTGAAACTCGTCAAACCTGGAGCTGTACACTACACCTATCAATACACTGATGAGGATATCATCTTTGAATTTCAGGTTAGTAAGCAAGTAAAATATTTTATATACTGAACTTTAATAAATTTCATCACATTATAATTGCATTGCAATACACTGTAGGGTAATGTTTTAAAAAGAGCTGGAGAGAGCTCTCTTAGCTTATGTCCTACTGACAATAATAATAATAATAATAATCCTCTTGTGTAGAAAAAAAGTCTGTCATTTCATTGACTATGTGTAATTAAGGTACAGTACTCTGAAATTGTATCACTTTTAATGCAGCTTGTGCATGATCTGATAACCCAGAGGGCAGTTGAGTGTGGCTTGCAAAGTCCCTCTTCTGGCCAAAGGATGGGAAACAAACTAATAGTTCCTTGGGGGTGGAGGGGCACAAAGCCCATTCCCTAACAGTTTTACTCTTACTTTTGGAGATTCAAGCGAACACCATAAACGTAACCCTAGAGTTTAGAAAATGAAATATTGGGTTTATAATACACCAATACCTTGTTGCAGTCATATGCATTATAGGCTGTTCTTCTCAAATAGTCATGCTTTTATCTCTCTCATGGTTCTATCTTTAACTATATACATTGAATAAACATGGGACAGTGCTCAAATAAGTTGTGTTCTGCAGTTGTATCACATTAATTACACCACTGCATTAATTGAAATCTATATAAATTTATACATTTTATGTAGGACATTAAGTTTTTGGAGCATAAACTTTATTACATATTTTTGTACACAATTATTGATTATGTATTTTTGTATATATTATGATTAATGAATTAACAGTTTTATAATACATTTCAAGCATTGCAGCTAAATAAGCCATATATTTTGTATTGAGCTTCAGAATGACTGAAACGACCAAGTTTATAAGGTTATATAAATGTTCAACATACAGGCTCAAGATGAAGAATGCCAGAGCATTGATGATGCCGATGCCTACAAGTGGCCACCACTCACCCGGGAAGGCCAGTGGCAGACCCGAAGTATGGAACTGAAGCCTGGTCTCAATGTTTTACACTGGAAGACAATTGGAATTGAAACACGTTTCTCCTCCAGACCTGTTTTGATCAAGAGCATTCAGATCAGTGGTAAGTGTGTAGAGCAGATACTGCAAAATTAGAATAAATGTAGAAATATACAGTACTGTAGTCTTTAAACAATAAAAAGCATGATCCTACAACAAAAACCTGTGGGAGAAATATTGAAATTAATTTAGGTTGGTTTTACATATAGAATGCTGGAGTATACTACATATGCAATATACCACATACTGTATTCCTATTACTAAAATCTTTCTTTCTCTCATAACAGGTGTTGCTCATTCATCTGAGTGTAGCCCATGTCCTGCAGGCACTTTCAGTGGGCCCGGAGCCCATGAGTGCACAGAGTGTGATGAAGGTTCCTACTCTCCTCGGGGTTCCTCTGTATGTCTGCCTTGTGACCCTGTTAAACAGTATGCTCCAAAAGGCTCTGCAGTTTGTCTTCCACGCCCCCCATGCACATCACAAGATTATTATGAGATTGATTCGGCTTGTGATGAAAAAAATGAGGTATGCAATGCAATAATACAAATATGTTCATGAATACATATAGTGGCATCTAATAGTGTTACTGTACTTCATTAGGTATATTAAAAACACTGTTGAGTTTTAATATCCAACTAGTTGCCCTCGGGTAAATTCAGTTGTAAAATAGAGGAACGAAACAAGAAATAATGCTACTCATACTTTTGTTATAGATGTATTTAATGGTCAGTTGTTTTGTCACCAACTGACCATTTACATAAATTAAAAAGAAGTAACATACAGGCAATAAAGTCATCATTAGTGACTCAAGATTTTATGTGAATTTATTCATTGCCTTTGGAAAACATTGTATGGTCAAGTCCATATAAAATTTGTCCCTCCTTGTCTCATAAATGAAATGTAGAAAATGTTGGTAGGAGAAAAGCACACAAAAACTGTAGTGGAGGGGACCTACATTCCCTCCAATGCGTTATGTGTGGTTTCCTCTGAGGCTATGGGTCCCCCTTCTTCCAGCCAGAGGTGGTACTCCCTTCCCTTTATAAATGTAGGTGTGTATAGTGGTGTACTTATTATGTATATTTTTGAAATGTGATATAATGGTCTATGGTCTATCACATTCATTTAATCTTTTACTTTGGTTTTCCCAGACTCGTGCTGTGTACAAGTGGGTGGAGCCCAGGGTATGCAGAGAGCAAGTGAAGGGTTCGGTGTCATTACCCCCATCAGGAGAAGTCAAGACATGCCCACCGTGTAATCTAGGAATGCATTACACCACTGGATTAGGTACAGTCAATGCACTGTTTTGAGTCTTATGTAATATTAACTTGTGTTTAATAATATGTGTATACAGTAATAATAAATTCTTTTCAATGCCACATTCTTGGAGCAGTTTCAGCACCATTCATTTAATGTTAGGTCAGTATTATTGACATTGGAATTTCTTTACACACCAAAGATGATGACAACATTTTATTTCTCTATTAATATTTGTTAATAATTTTGTTTATTATGGTAGGTGAAGGATAATACCGAGCCTTCACTTTCTAGGTATAGCAAGTAGTTTCTGTGCCACAACACACGTGTGTGTGTGCTCTAATGGTAGGGCATTAGTTTTATTGCAGAAAATGTGGAGAGACATCAGATTTGTGCTTTTTGTAATAAATTAGTTACATAAAATGTGGAGAGACACTTTGTATCAGTTTAAATGATATAAAGGAATGTTTAGTAATTTTTGCAAAGTAGGTCAGTTTTGTATACTTGGCACTAATATATTAGAATGTCATTAAATATTACTATATAATTTTTATATTTTTTTCAGGTTGTATATTCTGTCCTAGGGACGAACACAGTGATGGACTTTCCCCATGTAAGCCGTGTCCCCCAAGCACAGCACCCAACTATGGGTATCAGTACCAGTGGTGGACAGGCATGCCACCTAACATGGCTGCTACCTGTATGTCTGCTGATGGTAGGAATATGATGACTCTTTATAAGTATACAGTATTAACCCAGAAGTGCATATAGTCAAATATTGCCTTATAAACCTTGTCTTTGAATTATTTGTTGCTTAATGCAAATTATGCTCTAATTTTTCTTATTATTTACATTTGAAACTGTACTCATCTAGTTGTGCTTGCGGGGGTTGAGTTTTGGCTCTTTGATCAAATTGTGTATTTAGTTAGCTTCTGCCACCTTTTCTGATCCATTCCACTTACTGTATATAGAATGCCGACACTGAGGACGTTTTTCTGACATATCTATCACTCATTTTCTGAGCCATGGTAACCTTTCCACTACTCCCCACTTGTTGTTAACAAGCAACACAGAAATCATTGATAGATACAGCGATAGCAGAAGACTCGACATCAGCGAGGCCCTACACATCAAAAAGTCAACACCAGCAATCAACAGCCAATTAACGCATAACTATATTCTACTCACTTCAAGACCCTGAACCAGCATAGAAGCAGCAAGAGAAAATATGGGCCAATAGGACTTCTGTAGTTACTTTCATATTTATGTTTTGATTTTGATTTTCATTCCCATGTAAAACGCTTTTAGGCATCAGACCATAAATAAAAAAAAAAAAATGAGAAAATGAACTTTGGAGAGTTACTATTTTAATTACCCCCGACATTGAAGAAAAACGTAAGAAATATTGAGAAGATTCTGTTAGAATCATTAATCTTATCCTTTCGGTCATATTCAACAACACATACACACACACATACATATATATATACATATATATATATATATATATATATATATATATATATATATATATATATATATATATATATATATATACATATATATATACATTATATATATATATATATATATATATATATATATATATATATATATATATATATTATATATATATATATATATATATATATATATATATATATATATATATATATATATATATATATATATATATATATATATATATATGTCGTACCTAGTAGCCAGAACTCACTTCTCAGCCTACTATGCGAGGCCCGATTTGCTTAATAAGCCAAGTTTTCATGAACTAATATATTTTCTCTAATTTTTTTCTTATGAAATAATAAAGCTACCCATTTCATTATGTATGAGGTCAATTTTTTTTTATTGGAGGTAAAATTAACTTAGATATATGACCGAACCTATCCAACCCTACCTAACCTAACCTAACGTATCTTTATAGGTTAGGTTAGGTTAGGTAGCCGAAAAAGTTAGGTTAGGTTAGGTTAGGTAGGTTAGGTAGTCGAAAAACTATTAATTCATGAAAACTTGGCTTATTAGTCAAATCGGGCCTTGCATAGTAGGCTGAGAAGTGAGTTCTGGCTACTAGGTACGACATATATATATATATATATATATATATATATATATATATATATATGTCGTACCTAGTAGCCAGAACGCATTTCTCAGCCTACTATGCAAGGCCCGATTTGCCTAATAAGCCAAGTTTTTATGAATTAATTGTTTTTCGACTACCTAACCTACCTAACCTAACCTAACCTAACTTTTTCGGCTACCTAACCTAACCTAACCTATAAAGATAGGTTAGGTTAGGTTAGGTAGGGTTGGTTAGGTTCGGTCATATATCTACGTTAATTTTAACTCCAATAAAAAAAATTGACCTCACACATAATGAAATGGGTAGCTTTATCATTTCATAAGAAAAAAATTAGAGAAATATATTAATTCAGGAAAACTTGGCTTATTAGGCAAATCGGGCCTTGCATAGTAGGCCAAAAAGTGCGTTCTGGCTACTAGGTATGACATATATATATATGTATATACAGTATATATATTTGTATATAATATATATAATATATATATATATATATATATATATATATATATATATATATATATATATATATATATATATATATATATATATAATAACAAGTACTGTATAGTATCTGAAAGTTCAGCTTGTGTGTGAGGGCTAGATGACAGGAAATGTAAAGTGTGTGGACAAAGGGACACACACACTAGATTATTTTTTTGTCTATATACTCTCTTTTATTGCAAGAATTGAGAAATATAGAGAAATCTAAATATATGTTGCATGAAATGGAAAATAATTTGATTACAAAATGATAAAATATCTGAAATTCCTGAACTGTACGGTATACATATTTTGCTTCTAGTAGATAAAGGAAATGATGAAAGTATAAGCTCTGTTCACTAACTCTTCTATTATCCTGTAATATCCAATATTGAATATTATTTTGAATACTGTATTAACAAAATGACACCTCCAATATATAATAATATATTGCAATTCATAGAAGTTACAGTGTAAGAAACGTTGTCAGTTCTTAATTTTCAGATGTGTGGGGTGGGTGTTTACAGAGGAAGAAGTTTGTTACTAAAGTGTTAGGTTAGGCAGATAAATTGCAAAAACTAATGTAAAATTCTGCCGAGATATGATTAGGGCCTTTTCTGCCTTCTGTAATTGCTGTATTTTTCCAGAGGTTGGGTGTAGCACTGCCAATGGCTGGCAGGTAGGAGGAGATCACATTCATTCTGGACGGGGCCATGCAGATGATGCTTATCTTGTTCTCAGCCTCAAGGTTAGATATGAAAGTTGTAATACAGTACATTAAATTTGCATTTCAGGCTACTATACTGATTCTTAAGTTGCATATCTATTATGCAGTGTATATTTTAAGAAAATGCAGAAAGATCTAAGCAGAAAACTACTGTCTGCTTGACATCACACATCTGCATGCTCATGGAGAGAATCCTAAGGGAATTATTTACCATCTCACAGTGAATAATCTTGTAAATTCAGCGCAACATGGGTTTGTTAAACATGGATCCTGCCTTACAAACCTGCTCACATTTTTGGAAATGGTAACCAGGTATTCAGACAAAGGACTTCCAGTAGATGTACTGTAGTTTACATGCACTTTGCTAAAGCTTTTGATAAGGTACCACATGAAAGACTAGCAAGAAAATTACAGGCACATGGAATAAATGGTAGAATTCTAGAATGGATGAAACAATGATTAATATAAAAAAAACAGAAGGTTGTGCTAAACGGGAAGGAATCTGACTGGAGAAATGTGGTGAATGGGGTGCAGTAAGGGCCCATTTTGGGGCCACCCCTTTTTGTCACATACATCAATGATATACATGAGAATATTACAAACCATATTATTATATTTACCTGAATTTACCTCAGGGGAGAACACAGCTGCACATAAAATTCCATCTGCCAAGTGTTGATCCATACACTTATTTTGTCCAGGTCATTTTGAAGGGCATATCAATCATCAAAGTCTCTCATTTTTCTTAGTAGCTTAGCATCATCAGCAAACATGTTTATGTAAGTGTAAGAATAAATTAGTCTGCAACAAAATACCTGTGGATACTCCAACATTTGTTTTGTTCAGTATCATATTTTTGTAGTGTGTGCTTTCAAAAATCAAAGAGAACTCCTAAGATCAGGCAAGTTTTAATAAATAAATGTTTTAGACGTTCAAGGGGATAAGTTTCTGCTTTGTATCAATGCTCTCACTATTAAAATGTTTTCTCATTTGATTTTATACTAATGTTAGGCATCATCCTAAAAGCCCATTCTCACACTTATATTGCAGGTTGGAGGATTTCGTGGACGTGAAGGCTTTGTCAGTGGGAGGCCTATGGAAGTGGGTCGCATTTCCTTCACTTTTGAACTTTCCTGTGCCTCCGACTGCGAGTTTGTTTTTATGGAAGTACGTACCTTCTTACAGATGCTTTCCTGCTATGTATCCCTAGTTGGGATGCCTATAATAATAATTATTATTATACAGTACAGTATAGAGTTATGATTACAATATTCACATAGGTACAATATTTTGTTTTTTATAAATCATTATTCACATGCAGTATTTCCGACAAACCTTAGGTTTAACGTACTTTTTTAGTTTTTACATTTTAGGGTAATACTTTAATTTGATGAGACTCAAGTTAACTTACAGTACAGTACTGTATCTATAAAAATGTAAACAACAATTAAGAAGTTAAGATAATGATACACAGTTTCATAGTGATCCTTAATGAAGGTGATGAAGGATGAAAGAGCAAAAAATGTAAAAAAATGATCAGTGAGAGGTGTATAAGAAAGTGAATGGTATTAAATTCTGTACAAGTAAAGAAAATAGTTTTATTACAATTTTAATTTCCATCAATGTTACTTGGATCATATTTTTATTAATAATTTTTTCTAGGCCTCTGCCAAGAATGGTGTGACAATCATCAAACGTTTTAAGGGAGCTCAGCCTCGCCAGTACTACAGCTATCTGGTCACACGTAATGACTCGTACACTTTCTCCTGGGCATTCCAAAAGGTGATCACAGATTTGTAATTTTTCTTCATTTTATGTGAGAGATTTTTATGCATTTATTAGCAAAAAATAGGGTACTGAGGCAATATGGCATGCACCTTTCTGAGAAAAAATATTTAGTTCTTGATAACCAAGCCACACAAAAGAAGATGAAGAAACGACTACATTTCGGTCCAGTATGAATCAAAATGATGATGTTTCTTCGTGTTCTGTTGTGTGGTTTGGTCATCATATATCAGCCACGTTATTGTGACTCATCGTTTGCTTATTTAGCTCTTCTTAAGGTAAGGATCTGCTGCATCATGTAGCCAGAATCGTGCACAGTCAGGCTGGAAGACATACAGGCACTAGCATCACAGGTAAATTTTCAAAGGTCTTTTTACAGTCAGTAAAGGTGCTAGGAGAACACTGGAGAAAAAAAATGTATATCCAATCTTGAATAACTTGATAGATTTAGTCTAGAATGACTTAACATTTATGAAAATTCAAAGCTTTGCTAAACCCTTTCTAAGCATTGCACCAGAAGTAAGCTCTCACAAACTACCAGTTCCCCTGCTTGACTGCTTGCATGGCAACTGACACATGGCTGGTTCTTAGAATGCCTAGATGGAAAAACTCATCCAACAGAATGCCAAAGTAGAAATGTAGTAACCCACCTCAAATAGCTTTCTTGACAAATGTAAGAGCAGAGCAGGAAGAGCAATTGGGTTGAAACCAGGCAAAATCCTAAGAAAGAACCCCCAGAAAATCTGCAAACTCTGGATGAAGTAGTCCAGTCCAAGAAGCATCTTGAAGAATGACAGGCATCCTCCATGTAAGGGGAAATTTGAGGAGAAAACATGTGACCAAGAATGATGGAACCAACACCCAGCTGCCCTAAGAAAATATCAGGCACAACATTTAAAGAGTCAAGCCACAGAGAGAGCTGCTTTTGAACATTGGCTTGACCTTGACAAATAGCAAACACTTACTAGAGAGAAAAAACCATAGAATGAAACTTCTCTTTTTGGTGGGGTTCTACAAACTGAAGGGAACTTGGGGATCAGAGATCAATGGAAACTCAAGAGAAAATCCTACGAGAAAGCATGATTTCGCAGAGAGGGGAGTCCCAACTTGTTCGTGGGACAGCTGTTAAACCCTCAAACCTCCTGACTGCTCTGCCATACCTCTATTGGTCATTTTGGGCTGGAGTGAGCTTTCTGTAATGAATTGCTAGAACCCTTAGTGACCCTGCAAGAATATTAGCAAAGTTTCCTGTGGCACTGGTACCAGAAAGTTTTCTTACTTGACTTTACACCATTCTCATCATATAAAACATATTCTGTATTTCTTGAAATAATACCAACAGATAATTTTTTTTTAATTTCAGTGGTATAAGCTTCTGTATTCACAACACCATTTATAAGTCTAAATGTAATTACTTTATTTTTCTGAATTGGCAGGTGTCCTGGGAAAAGAGCTACTCGAAGATAGGGTCATTACGTATGTTTGAAACAGACATGGCAAAGGTGTTCAATATCAATGTGACTAACACTATTGATGGTGGTGCATCTTCCTGTCTTCCATGTCCACAAGTAAGTCACTTGAAGTTTAGTAGCTTAATAGAAATTCTGTGGTTTTAATCATGAGTTAATTATCACCATACTGTTAATGATATAAAACTTGTAACAGATATATGAAAATTATCAGAAACATGTAGAGTAAAAGTTTCATTAAGAGAGCAATATTGGTGTCATCCAGGCTCCAGCTGCAGCAGGGTGCATTCCTTGCCCAGCCGGCCACTACATAGAAAACAACACGACTGAATGCACTCGCTGCCCCTCCAACACTGTCGTGACAGACCCATTGCCTTATGGCTCACAATCCTGCCTTCCCTGTGGTCCTGGACTAACTGCCCCAGATCACCTCACATGTATTGTTGAGTGCCGTCTGACTGTGGATAACAGAACATATGATTTAACAAACATTAGCAAGTAAGATTTTTTCTGGATTATTTTCTGTATTACTTCACGTAATCTAAGGGGAGGTAACCATGTATCTAGGGAAGGGAGACAGTGGCAAGTCTAACTCAGACCACCACTGAGCATACTAGTTCATAATAATACAAAGAACCTGATATTATATTTAGGATTTTTGTAAATATTAATTATGTATTGAGCTAATCTGTCATTGTTTCTGAATATAAGTTTTGTATATCTGTTAAACCAGATCCATGCATACTCTTATCACTGTAAGTAAATTAAAAAAGAATTTAATACTGTACATTTCTTAATATATTATAATTTTAAACATAAATCATGTTAAAAAATATATAACTCATACAGTATTTCGTAAAAAAATAGTGTTGGTAAAAAAAGTGTAATTGAGTAACAATGCAATATATCTGAGTAAAGTTTATAGTTCAGTGACAACAGCTATTAACAGTTTGGCTAAATAAAAAGCATTTTGAATATAAATCTCCATTTCTACTAGAATATCAGTACAGTAGTGCCACATTACAGAATTGGAATTTGAGAGAGTAATGGGTTCTGTAGTATATAGTGTTATGGTTAGGCAAAATTGCTTCACATATTTAGATACTGTATTTGTCATATTGTGAAAATGGATGGTTTTAATGGCAGAAGGTATTCATCTGGGTAAAACAAGTAAAATGTATTGTGCTGCTTAAGCTAAGTATACAAAAAACAATCTGTGGTCTGATGTCCCTCTGCCATTACAATACTGTGTGTATATTTTGACTTCTAGTGCACGAGCCATGATGGGGAGCACCCTCTTCACATCGTCAGGAACAAAGTTCTTCCACATGTTTAATATTTCACTTTGTGGAAACACCAGTGTCACCTGTGCCAACAATGTTTCCTACAACATGGAAGGAGAAGTAACTTCGGTGAGTATGAACTTCATAGTGGTACACCAATTATATCTGATGCCTATCAAACTACTACAGGGTATTGGTAATAAATGTGAATTATTTTCTGATCCTACACATAATATTGTACTGTACTGATATTCTTTACTTACAAAGACGGTACATAATGTTTTTATAGCAATTTTGACAAGTTTGTAATAATGTCTTAATCTTTTTACGGTATTTTGTCTACAACTTTTTAGTAAACCCAAATGTAGTTACAGGATGAGAGCTGTGCTTATGGTGTCCCATCTTCCCAGTACTCTTTGTCACATGAAACTTTGAAACTACTGATGGTTTTGACCTCCACCACCTTACTTGTTCCAACCATCTACCACTATTTGCAAAAGTGAACTTTCTAATGTTTTTCAGCATCTTTGTTTCCTTAGTTTGAACCAATGTCCTATTCTTCATGAAGTTGCAGTTTTAAAAAATTTTTATTTTTTAATTTTGTCGATATGTTACTATACTGGGTATTTTATACGTAGTGATATCACCTCTTTTTCTTCTCTCTTCTAGCTTTAATATTTCTAATACTTCAAACCTCTCCTTATAGTTCTTGTTTTCCAGTTCTGGGAGGCATTTATCTGCTTGCCTTTGCACCTTTTCTAGTTTATTGATGTACTTATTGAGATGAAATAGTGAATAGTAGTGTAGTGTATTTAGCAAGTCTTCATGAAAGAGGTAGGCTGAGAAGACACAAAAACAACAATGCTATGTATAGTCTAAATAAATTGCAAGTACGTACTGCACATTAGTAAGTAATTCATGAGCCTAGTTGTGAATGGGAAGGTTAATCTGTGAGAGCGAGGTTGGCAGAGAAGCAACAGGACCGTAGTATACAAGGTAGCTGCTGCTGGACATTGCAGGGCTGAGGTTGGGGAGAAGAGTATCAGGTGCTTAGTATATGGAGGGTAGCTGCTGCTGAAAAAGGAAAGCTGTAGTGTTCCTGGTGTTGGTCTGAGACCGAGTTGATGTCATTGGCAGGGGTATGAAGCTTAGGGGTTGTTCAGCAATTGACCACTGGCAGAACCCAGAACCCTAGTGACTTCATGATCCTCTCTTCCCTTCCAGGTCATCAGGTAGGTCTTATCTGTTCATCTGCTCCAGAACTGACAGCTCAAATCTTAGGACGTGATGAACCCCTTTTCCCTCCCCTCAAACAAGTGGAGGAGGTAGGGCAAATGAGTTCGTGCTAGTTTTGAGAGATTTTATCGCTTATTTACATAGTTGGAGTTCATTAGGGAGGTTTTGAGGCTTTGGTCTCTTTTGAACCCTAAATGGTTTGTTTTTACTCACTGACTTTCTGGATGTATATTATAATAATTAGTGTTAGCTTGGATTAGTTTGGTATAGCCGAGTTTTTACCATTATAAATTGTTGCAGGTTATATCACGTGTGTGCCGGTCTACCATCGTGCCAGGGATGGAAGGAATGGCTGAAGCAGGAAGGATTGGTGCGGTAGCTACGCAGTCTGTGACCCTTGGTGACCACCTAGTTGGTGTTACTACAAACATTACACTCATGGATATCACTGTTATACAGGAATTCCAACAGCCAAATAATTCTTTTAAAAAGGACCTACACTTTTTCTATACAACACCATTGTAAGTTGAACATGTATTATAACGTTCATTGCCACACACAACCCTTCTGCTACTGTCTCGGTGCAGGTTCTTAAGCACAACTTGAAAATAATAACACGTTAAAAAATAACATGTTAAGGCATTATCGGGCTTCTACCCATGTTGCAAGATTAGAGACAATTTAATATTAGAGGTCTTCTCTTAATAAAGTGGAGTAGTTTAGGTCTGTATGACTTGTATAGCTCAGAGAACAGTTACAGCCAGTACACAACATACACAAGAAGGAATTATACAAAAAACTTACTGTAGAGATATTTATTTTAGTTAAAATAAAACTTGCTGAACCCTGATGGGGCCAAGTGCTGCTTTCAATATTTTTGGAAATGTAGACTGTAGAAAATCATAAAAGTACAGTACTGTACATGCACTTTACACTGATATAGTATCTTGATTATCCGAGACAATTGGTTATGGGCTCTCCCAATACATTCCATTTTATTGTTTCTTTTGCAGTGGAGGGGGGCACAAATTGTGTGATATATTAATACAAATAATATTCATCTTTTATATGCATATTGTATTTTGATACCACAATAATATAGGAGAAGTCAATTTAGTATTGTAAAAACCTTTTATAAAATTTGTATTTGTTTAGAACTACAAATTCTGATTAGTTTGTATGACATAAACTGAATCCTTTAAGTGTCTGATTTTATATTGAATAATGGTATGTGTAAGTGTGATATCACTGCTTTCAGTTACCACCTCAGCATTGTACAGTATAATATGGTACAAGAACTGACAATTTTCACGTGTGTTTCCTTTGGAGATAGTCATATGAAATGCGTGTTAAATATATATTTTGCTATAATGTAAATGACACATTACCAAAACATTTCAGATCAACACATGCATGTCCCAAGGGCAGGAGCACAACCGTGACCCTACGCTGTGATCCTGATGAGCTAGGTGAAGGAAAGGTAACCCTGCCCCATCAGTGTCCGGACGGCACCTGTGATGGCTGCAATTTCCATTTTCTCTGGAGCTCTGCACTTGGCTGCCCTGAATGCTCAAAGGATGATCTGATGTAAGTTATTTATTATTATTGAATGATGAAAAACAGGTTTTTAAAAATTGGTAGTGTTTCGATAAATTCAGGTAGCTATTTATGATTACATGCTGTTAATAATGCACGCCTGAGATGCTGCTCAGAAAGGAGCGATTCATTCCACTCGATGCCTTTGTATTTTTACATGGTCTAGTGTGGTCCATGGGGAGTGTGAAGGAGGAAAGCAGGAGGTGCACTACATTGCTCCCAAGAATTGTCGTGCTCCAGATGCTATTCCTGGGGGTCATTCTGTCCGCTGTAGCACCAGACTTCCATTCCTTGTGGAGGTAAGATGACTTAAATACACAACATGTTTATTGCACATTTTACTGACCAACTTATCTTTTCATTATAATTAGTAAACTTTTAGTTAATATTGAATGTGAAATCAAGGTAATTGGGGGTTGCCTTATTTGAAACTGTTTTAGAAGTAAATTGGTATTTGGAAGTTAAGTTAGGAGTTTAGTTGTAGCCTAGAAAATAAGCCCAACAGTCTTACTGTTTCCCAACAGCAGGCAACTATAATGTCATGGAAAGATGTGGTTTGTGAAAGTGTGTGCTTGTAAGATTTAGGAGTGTCTATTACAATGATATGGATGACATCTCTACTCTGGCAGTAAATGTTTTGATGAAGCTAAAACTCATCATCAGATTGCTATTCATAAACATTTGTATATCCATTGCTGGCATGCACAACCTATTATAAGGTCAGTTAGTTTTTGCATCTGTTCTCTGAAGAATTCACTTGCAAACATTTTGACACCAAATTTATAGTTATAATCCAACAAATAACTTAGAAAACACAAAATGATTGTAAACATTTTTCACATTACTGAACAGCATTGTGAAAAATTGTGAGCGGCCTGGTTGGCTTAGAACATTCACAGTCGGGAGAGCATGGAGGGGCCAGACCATCAAAGTGTTGTTATTAATTTATTAACTTGACAAGTAATTTGACTTTATTCAAACCATTTAAAATGTTATGTTTTTGGTAACTTTTGCAGGTAATTGTTTTGAGCACAATAAGCATGGCATTGATGTTGTGCTTACTCCTTTTCTGTCTCTGGAAGAAGAATCAGCGCCTTGAATACAAATACATGAAGTTGGTAGCCAGCGCATCATCAAAGGTAGTTCTGAGGAAACTGATGTTTAAGAGTATTATAGTGTATTTAAAGGTCTTTGCCTTTGTTACGACCCTGGGTTCTCCAGTGGAAACCAGAGGTCAAAATTGAGCTATTAAACTTTCTGGTAGTACAGTTGGGTGCATCACTAGCAGCAATTGTTTGTATCTTCCCTGCCAGACGTAAGACTATTGTTGTTTCTCAAAGAGCATTTAAAGACTGAGCTGGGGGTTGATTATTAAATAATAACATAGGCACCAACTTTGCTTACTAATACTTTCTAATCATTTGTAAAGTAACAATACATTGCATAGGGGAAGATCTTTAATGTGCTTAGCTGCACGATCAATTAGGCTCCTTCCGGCACCACGACATGAGGGAGGCCAGCTGGTCGCTAGGAGCTCTCTCTTCTCTGGCTGGTGTTCGTGCGGACGAGACCTACTCTGTGGCTGCACCCCTACTCTTCTCCCTTCTCCTCTTACTTATTTCCCTTACCTGAAGTTCCTGTACCCTTAAGTTAAGTACGGGGCATTATTAAGTGTACCTACTCTGGTAGTAACGATTGGTGAGACCTGGGGGTAGTATTTGCCAGTGTTTTGGGTACCCCTAAGTGTTGTATTTTGTATTAGGGTCCCACGTGGTTTCCCTACCCTAAGCTGCATCCAGCTTCAGTGCTTATCCAGTAGTACTTTACCCTAGCTTGTTATTAGTGTAAACCTTGTATCCTGCCTAAGTGGACCAAGGCTTTTAACGTAAGATAGTGTGGTAAAGTTATTATTATTATTGTTATTGGTGTGAGTGTATATGGGGGGTTGTTAAGGGGTTAATAAATAAGTACATGAATTACAGCGTATCCCTTCTTCCAGTGTGGGAGCGCATTGATCAACCCTTAGACTAACATATATGGTCTAGTAGCAAGTTATTACTACTGTGGATAGTTTATTTTGGGGGCCGGGCCTTTTAGCTCTCCCATATTTGATACTCTTGTCTTCTAACTACCCTTACCCCTTAATAGTACCAGTACCCCATAGAAGCCCCACACACAATTATTTATGACAGCCTTCATGCCCAGCAAATAGACACAGCTTAAAATTATCCTAAGTTGAAGACTATATTTGATTGTCTTACACCAGAGAAGTAATTTATCTTTCAAATATTTAGTAATGTAGGTTTCATAAGAGTTCAGATAAGAATATAAATAAAGACAACCACAGAAGAATCTATTGGCCCATGTGAGGCTTCTCCTATTTATATTTTCTTATTGAATGAAATAATTTCTTTATTACCTATTTCATTGCCACTTTGTTCAACTGTCTTACTTGTTAATTAATCTTGCTGTAGTAAACATAGTTGAGTGTACCTGAAGGTATTCATGTTCATTTGCCTTACAAGATTGGATAATGGAGATTCTATAAATTTGTTTTTACAGCCCTGTGTATGTAATCTCATTTTTTGCAGGATGGGATGATTGACTTGCCACCAGCAGAATCTTGTGCCCTGGATGATGGAGAAGAGGAGGAGGTGCAGTTTACACAGACTCCACCTAGGGGTATCCTTAGCAAACTTATGCATAACAAAATAGCAGTAAGCAAATCATCTTCATGTTAATACACTTTGAAATTTGACTAAAATCAAATGCCAAATTTAAATTGAATTATTGTCTAAAAGTTTTGTTAAAATATGTATATATTTTGTGTAAGAATGATGTGCAGATAATACCGTTATTAAATTTAATGCAGTTGAAGATACTGTATATAAAAATAAAAAGTATTAGATAAATGACTGAAATAAGTCTAAATCAACAACAAGAATATAGTACATATTAAGTACTGTACACGAGTTGTAGCTCAGTAGTACAAACACAGGAGGATATAGGTCATTGCTAAACCATGATGGCAAAAAAATGGAGCATACAGGTAGAGTGCTGCTTCTGAGTCGGTAGCTCATTTACTCCCATAGCTTTAATGATCCGCCAAGAGCACTGTTCACTAATAGCCTCTATGCCACTTAACACCTCACTATGACACAAGACTTTTCAAACTGGTCTTATCTTGTAATTTTTGAAATGGGGAGATGGTGGAGAAGGTATCTTAACCCATCAACACTGCTCAACTTGCTATAATTTAAATTAACACTTTAGTCCGGGCATGACGCAGCATTGCGTCATCCGTTTACTGTCGGTAATCTCGGGGATGACGCAATGCTGCATCGTCCACTAAAATAATTGCCAAAAATCAGGTTTTTATCCGATTTTTGGGGGACTGTTTGGTAACTGTCAACAAGCCGAATGCAATCTGTGACTACAATACAAACATGAAAGGTGTTGATCACTTTGACCAAATGATCAAATATTATCACTTCATAAGGAAAACTCACAAATGGACGAAGAAAATTACCTTCTATATTGTGCAAATGGCTATCTACAATGCTTATGTGATGTACAACTACTACACAAAAAATATTAAACTATAATACTAAATATACTAAAATACTAAACATTTGTGGGCAGGAATTGGGAGTGTAGGTGGAAGGCGTCTGGGCGCTCACTCGCGGTTAACACGTGGCCCGTCTTCAACTCGTCGGCGGGTGGAGCGTGACCAGGTTTTTTATTTTATATGCTAATGTTCCTCTAGAGAATTCTATTGCAAACCCATTGATACCAAAATGAAAGACCTAGGACGAAAATTGAGGTGACCAGAGTGAAAAGAGTGAACACATTTATCACTTTTGTGCGCTCCTGGGTAACTCGTTCGCACTTTCTCTGTTTGCTGTGGGTAATTAGCCGGGCTTTTGGAATTTATATGCATTTAGTGCTGTAGAGAATTGTATTGCGAACACAATGATACCAAATTTAATCTCGTAGGACGAGAATTGAGGTGACAAAGTTGGAGAGTATACACTTTTCAGAATTAACGCGCGCTCCCGAGAAACGCTGGGACCCAAATCACATAGTTGAGGGGTGGCGTGCTGGGTATGCTAAAGTGTTAAGCACCCCATACATTCAACACCCTTCTCAAAATGATAAATGGAAACCCGAGGAACACCTAATATTGATCTGCAAACCATTGTAAACTAATAAAAATTGTCTACAACTCTTGCTCTATAAAAGTACAGACCCAAGCAACAACACCAAGAGGAGCAGAAGCCGGCATGCCATCTAACAAGCAAAATGTTGATGTAATATCCACAGATTTAGCAAAAGCTTTCAACAATATGACCAGTGTTATTGCACACAAAAGGAATTACTGGCAAAGTATAGAGATGGATCTTTTACTTTATAATTAAAAGAATCCAGAGTGTAATAATCAACAAAGTAAAATCTGGATCATCCGGTGTGAAAAACTTAATCCCCAAGGTACTATGCTTACTCCAGTATTTTGTTCTCATCCTCATATCAGACATAGACAAGGATACAAACTATAGTACAGTATCGTCATTTGCCGATGATACTAGGATTTTCATGAGAGCAGACAATAAAGAGGACACAGCAAACCTCCAATGTGATGTTAAGTCTTTCTGAAATATTGTTGCACACTAACAGCCCCATTCAAAGCTGGAGAAATTGCTGACCCGTAGAAAATGTAAAGATCTTTTACTATTATAATCCACTCGGTAAAACTTCTAAATTATTAGCCCACTTAAAATCTTTTAATCTGGATTCCCTAGATTGCAGGCAGGAGAGATACATAATAATTTACACTTGGGCAATACTAGGACTGGTTCCAGATCTGCACATAGAAATAACATCACACGAGACCAGAAGGCATGGCAGGATGTGCAAAATACCCTCGTTGAGAAATAGTTGTGCAATAGGCATGCTGAAAGAGATCTCAATCATCATCAAAGGCCCAAGACTTTTCAACACTCTCCCTCTACACATACAGGGCATAACTGGCCAACCTCTCGCAGTGTTCAAAAGAGAACTTAATATGACACCTTAAAGGGATATGTACCTGATCAACCAGGCCGTAGCTTATACGTCAGGCTGCGAGCAGCCACATCAAATAGCTTGGTTGACTAGACCACTGACAGGGTATATGACAGGTAATACCCACTGGGTAAAGGGACTGAACAACCATGTGTCCAATGGTTGTTCAGCCTTTCTTTTTAGTTCGGTGTCAGTAGTTCACAGCAGGTAGCTTACTGTTTCATACAACTTTAGTCACATCCTCTAGACTGTTCTTGACACAGGTGTTTGTGGCAATGCATTACATCTGTTAGGTTATTTCATCGCTCCGTGTTGACAATTCATTCTGTGTATCTCCAGGTTAGGTAGTCAGTCACAGGTATCTGTGGCCTTGTATTCACGAGCATTTAAAAAGATCCCAGCAGAGCGATCGCCTGATTGTTCATGTATCTGGTTTATGACAGTGGTTTTTTACCTTAGGGAGTAACTGAATATGTTCCCTCAGAGAGGTGCTTTTCATACTGAATCAAAGCCTTGTTTTTAACTTACCAAATCTCCTTTGTATTCCTTCCTAAACAGCCAACTGAAGGACGTGGATTGCTGACGCCGACTATGATACTTTCTTCCAAAGACGCTTTAACGTGAATGATTCATTACTTACTACTGTAATGAAGATTTTCCCTTTTCAAAATTGTAGAAAGACAGAACTGAAAATTAGTTATAAAATACAACAAAGTTGAATGAAAGTAAAAGAATTCTGTTATGGCAAATGTTATATATAAACCAAAGATCTAAGCTCTACTATTTGTACTGGCATACACAAATTTAGGTACAGTTCTAGTAAATATTATAATACAGTAATTGATGTATGTGCTATACTGTGCAAATCAGAATTTTTGGTATGAGAAATATACTCAGTAGTATAAAACAAACATACTGCTGTATTATAAATGTAGAAAAATAATATGCCATAAAATAAAGATTAGCATTTTACTTTATGATATATTAATAGCATGAAGTTTCTGCTAATCATATTTTGTAACACTGTTCATATAACTATTTACCATTTTCATTATTAATTTGTCAGTTATATATATTTCAGAGTGCAAAGTGAATGAATGTTTACTTTGAACCCACAGTCTGTTTATATCCTAATGGGACTGATGGCCCTTTGAACCCATAACCTGTTTGTAAAGTCAATTTTGGGCTGTGACAGTTAATGTTTGGGCATTGCACTTAAGATGTTTGTTTGCACAAAGTTGATTGACTCAATATAACCACAAAAATATTTTTAAATCTATTAGATTGTATAATTTATTTTTAAGAGTATTATTCTAAAATTGTATAAAGCTTCTTATAAACTGAGAAACATTTAAATTTTGAGCATAGGCTTCGATAACACTTCATTTACAATTACTATGCCTATAGGCCTATTTTCTAGTCCTCGCAGAATATATAATTACAGAATTATGTCACGGCTATTGATACAGTAATATCAATAGATTATATTTCAGTTGTTAAGCCATTTGACAAACATTTTGATCTGATATTTAGTTTTACAACTTTCTATTAATGTGGTGCTTCAGGCACAATAATATATTACTGGCACCTGAAACACAGTACAGGTAGAATTCTACTGTTAATGTGTCTCGGGAAAATGTTAAATTTTTTTGGCATCTAAAATAGTTTGCAAGAAATTCTTTTGGCACGATGTGTAACCATGTAACAATACAACAAAGGCCATTATCATAGGATAAATAATTCATACTTGTGTAAAGATTTGAACCACACCAAGTCTTTCACACACTCCTGAGTGCATTATCACGGTCTAAGTATATGGTTTGGTTCCAAGAAGCTATTCTTGGAATTAAGAGTTGACTAAGTTGTGAGATTTGTGTTGTTGCTGTGTACTGAACCTTTCCAGTGTAGTCATTTCTTTGAAAAGTCATGGAGAAAGTGGGGTCTCCATGCATGGATACAGTATTCCAGATGGGGGTTGTACAAGGGATTTGTACTACTAAAAAGCACAAAAACATTAAAAATACTGTAGTGTACAAAAAAGAACAAATCAATATAGTATCCATCTGGCTTCCATAATGAGTGCTATGGGAATCCGTATGGAAGGTGACTTCTCCAGACAATGTATGATAGGAAAATTAATTAGTTATTTGGATGCACAGTACGATAACTGTTTTAGAGTTTATTATACAGAACTGTAATTAAAATAAAGGCGCGAGACTAACATTCACAGTCGCAAATGGAGTGCTGTAAGCACAATATGTACTATTTTTAGATCGCAGTACCTGTATGCAGTAATCATGAAGAAGAAATGCATTTTATGCAACAAATATTTATGCGATATAAACAAATCCACAAGAGCCGTGACGAGGATTCAAACCTGCGTCCGAGAGCATCCCAGATGCTGCCTTAATCGACTGAGCTACGACATGGTCAAAAGGAGTTGAAACCGAAGTTCTACTGAACTTACTGGATCCTGCAGCCTCTCCGAGGCACAAACCAGGGTTTTACAAACTCCCCCCATGCACTCGAGCTATGTCAATAGGCCGTTCTTCCTTTTCGCCCTTCATTACACACAGAAATCACAATTGCGTGATGCATCAAATGAACAAATCCACAAAGGCCGTGACGAGGATTCGAACCTGCGTCCGAGAGCATCCCAGACGCTGGAGATTTGTGATTTCTGTGTGTAATGAAGTAAGGGCGAAGAGAGAGAACGGCCTATTGACATAGCTCGAGTGCATGGAGGAGTTGTGTAAAACCCTGGTTTGTGCCTCGGAGAGGCTGCAGGATCCAATAACTTCTGTTTCAACTCCTTTTGACCATGTAGCTCAGTCGATTAAGGCAGCGTCTCAGACATAGGTTCGAATCCTCGTCACAGCCCTTGAGGATTTGTTCATTTGATGCATCACGCAATTGTGATTTCTGTGTGTAATTTATGCGATATAACCTGGAACAGCAACAGTAATGTTTTGTGAGTGCTCCAAAATATATTGCTGTAAAGTATGTTACATGGTTTTCTTGTAATCTTTGAGACATAATTAAGGTCACTACAGTATTTTTTATTTAAAGAATATTAAATTGTATATTTTATTTGTAAAGAATTTAAATTTATTTAAAATATTAAATATTTGTGTACATTTTACATGTAAACAAAATTGTAGTAATCATGAATATTAAATAGTAAGACAAATTTCCTGTCCCATTTTTTGCTTTTAACCCTGTTTACCCTAGGGTGCTTGTGTACCCCAGCACCCTATGTTAGTACCCTGGAATGTTTGTTTACCCCAGCACCGTATGTTAGTACCCTGGGGTGTTTACCCCAGCTCAAAAAATATACAAGAAAATTATTTTTTGGTTGTTTATATAACTTGACAGAGATTTATATTAATAATCTATTACAGTATCTTGTGGTTCTCTGCAGTAAATATTTTTCTGTGTACATTACGGTATATAGAATGCAATGCAGCAAATTTAGTGTTTTGTACATACATGGTGGCCAGCTTCCTGTCCTCATCGAGGCCACTAGTATTAGTGGCCCTGAGGTAAACGTTAGTACGGTAAAACTAATTTTTTTGTCAAGATGAGAACAAATACAGTATGGCTAGTTATTTGGCAGGTGCATCATTAATGAACAAAATTATTTAATAGAATTAAGCTTCAATGTTCCACAATCCAATGTATTTGTGACAAAATTTACTCCTCTCTGTGACTTATGATCTGTGGACTGTTGTTCCATTGAATGCAATTGACAACAACTTGCAGTGGTCACAACCAACATGCTTACCACAAGTGTTACACACTGCTTTTACTTTCTGATTTCATGACTTTTCACAAAAACTACATGGCTCTGCCCCTTGTGACATTTTGTGCTGGGAGGCTGTGAAGTGTGTTGCTGCTTCTGTCAAGATTCTAATGATATTATTTTGGATTCTACTTTAGCTTTCTGCTCTGCAGTCTCCTCTTCAGTAATTCTACTACAAACTTCATACATAAATTCTTTATGAATAAGCATCACTTCAACTTGCTTGGACGGTTGTAACAATACAATATAAAGGAATTTATGGTTGAGACAAGCAGAAGTGTGTAGAAAAATCAGAGGTCAACAACAAGAATTTCTTGATGTATCATATTTTTTGCCATCTGATCTACCATGTCACAGTGCCTTCTTTTGGTGAACTGTAGAATGTGACAATCTCTGGTTTCTTATCCCCCAGATTCTGGGTAAATTTTGTTATGGTGATGCATGCTGCTGAAGAGAATAAAATTTGCCATTTGTTTGGTGGGTGGTATGTTAGAAATAGTCACCTTATCTCCAATGCCAAACATATTATCATGAAGTTGGGTCTTCACCTTCAAACACTTTATAGGGAATTTTTTTAGTTTTCTCTCTTGTAAATATGTCCACAACAATCATATTATGGTACTCAAGCAGCCTCTGAATTAGTGGGTAAGTTGTGTACCAGTTATCAGACATCTCAGAATCTGCCAGATTCTGAGATGTCTAAATTAAGCCTTATGACTACAGCACAGGCAGAATTGTCTACTTTGAATGGACCATCTGGTTAGTAATATAGGGTGACTGTACGCATCCCCAACAGGAAGAAAGTCTGCCTCTCACACAATGTGCATTAGGACTGTTGGAACTTAGGTGCTTATTCCACTCTGTGATTCAGGAAGGTACTAGAAAGATCAGTAATTTCATTATTGCCAAATGAAATATGCTCATCCCAAAATTTGAGTTGGGTTGGGAGAGGGTGGGGGGGGGGTATTTGCATATCCCAGGGTGCTAATGTAGGGTTACCAGATGAATATTAACATTTATATAACAAATTTTGTAATTTAATTTAGGATTGATACTCATTCCTTCACATCAATCTAAACTGGTAATGTCATCCAAAGTAGCCATTTATATAATGTTTTCCCTTATTTTATAATGCTCATACATTTACTGGCAAGCAGGTTAATAGACATCCTCAGTACTTCACATGTGCTTAAATACCAGGGGCCAGATTCACGAAAGCACTTACGCAAACACTTACGAACCTGTACATCTTTTCTCAGTCTTTGGCGGCTTTGTTTCCAATTATTAAACATTTAATGAGCTCCGAAGCACCAGGAGGCTGTTTGTAACAATAACAACAGTTGAATGGGAAGTTTCCATGCTTGTAAACTGTTTAATAAATGTAACCAAAGCCGTCAAAGATTGAGGAAAGATGTACACGTTCGTAAGTGCTTGCGTAAGTGTTTTCGTGAATCTGGCCCCAGGTATTAGTGAGCAAACTAAAAACCAATGTATGTAATGCATACCATAGACATAAGTGAAAACTATGTACTGTACCTATTTCTGCTATATAATTTTTTATATGAATAAATTATAACATTAAATTATGATACTTTCATAAGTGATGTCCAAGCTTTCATTGCATCCAGCTTCAATTGACTGGGGTGTCATACTTAATTGGGGCAATAAAAGACTAATTAAAATATCTGTAGTGAGACAATTACTTATTTATCATACTTTATGTAATCAAGTTGGACCATAAAATTTTACTGTATTATGCATTGTAATTTATCTTTGGGAAAGGAAACAAAAAATTCATTTACCAAAAGCACTCCTGTAATACTTAAATAATAAAATTTACAAATGAGTTCATCACATGAGCTTCTGTGAGTGATCATGCTTGTTGCTTCAACAAATACGTGAAACACAGTGTACATAAATTATACCAGTAAATTGCAAGCTAGATTTGTAAGTCATTGTAAATAATTTAAATTGTGCATCGTAAATTTTTTTTTTATGTGGAACGTATTGTAACTATTTCAAATGAGCATGCATTATTAAAGTACAAGATCCTGTAAAGCAGCAGGTCTTGGAAGACAAAATTTGCTTATTTTTATTACAGTATGCTATTTATAATAAAAGATTATTGCATATACAATAACTAATAAGTGTATTATATAGTGATATACAGTATAAGTGTACGTTATTTCTTTGTGTATTTTTCCAAATTTTGGGACTTCATCCAGGGCAAATGGCACTCAACATAGGCTTGCTGGCAGTTACCAAGTAATGTCAGTGTTATATGACAAAGTGTGCAGGGAAGATGGGACATGACAACCGTAGCTCTTATTCAATAACTACACCTAGGTAATTACCAGAAATGTTTTATAGTTTCTGTATTATTGGCAGTCACCAGGTGATTCCTTAAGTCACCAAGTACTGTATATCATTTATTAATCAAACAATAAATTAGTTGATTCAAATAATATTGTTTAGGGCAGTAATTTTTGTATTTTGAGGCATTCTCTCAAACAGTTTTCCATTGTAAGGACCAAAGTCTGTCAGACTTTTCCAAGTCCCTCTAGTCTAGTACTAGCCATTTCAGAGGATGCAACCCACAACTGTTAACCAACTCTTGGATGTACTCACTTAGTTGTAATTGCGGGGGTTGAACTCTGCTCTTTCGACCCGCCTCTCAACTGTTAATCAGCTGTTACTAACTACTAATTTTTTCCACACACACACACACACCCCAGGAAACAGCCCGTAACAGCTGTCTAACTCCTAGGTACCTATTTACTGCTAGGTAATAGGGGCATCAGAGGTGAAAGAAATTCTGCCCACTGTTTCTCGCTGGAAAAGGGGAATCGAACCCCGGACCACAGGATTGTGTGTACAGCGTGCTGTCCCCTCAGCCACCAGCCCCCTCATGTACTCACCTATTTGTGCTTGTGGGGTTGAGCAGTGGCTCTTGGTCTCGCCTCTCAACTGTCAAGCCAATTGTTTACTGTTATGCTAACAGAGGCATCAGGTGTAAAGAAACATTCTCATACATTTCACCCTGCCTGGGAATTGAATCTAGAACCAATCAGTTGTGAAGCAGCTGCAATATAAATCACATTGTTGGTGAATGAATTAGCAATTTAGTCTTTTATAAAGCCCCTAATTACACTCTGCACTTTGGATAAGCCTTATGGTTAAAGAAAATAATGAAGATTTAATGAGAATAGTAATAAATTGTGGTGATATTGTAATTTAGATTTTTATTTTTGTAATTCTACATTAGCTTCATTTATCTTTTTTTTCAAAGTTGATGCAGCTTGTTCTCAATTAAACAAGCATAAAATTTTAAATGGTTTTTTCCAAATGCCTGCAAAAATAGCCAACCCACTAGGTTTATTAGTTCGAGGAAGAACGTGTATTATGTTTTAACTTCACTAAATCATTGGAATTTTGATGCTGTGGTCAGTTGGGTAATGAGTACAGTATAATGCTCTAGGTCGAGACGGTTGTCATTCGACACTTTCCTTAGATTTATTACCCTGAAAGAAGATTTTATTGTTAACTTGTGCATTGTGGCTTGGCTAGCTTGGAAATGTTGCCTCATGTGTCACTGAAGTAATCAGAATTTGTATTGTCGTATATTATGTATCTTAACATCTCAAAGATCAGCACTGTTGTGCCTTGTTTAAAGAGTAGTCAGTCCTATAGCACTCAGCATTTACCGATATGGGAGCTGAATAAGTTTTGAGATGTTTTTGTCAGTGAGATGATGCTTTTTTTTAATGCAATGTCTCCATACTTGAATGACTGTAAACAAAATTGTAAAGTTCCTCAACTACTTTTGTTCTTGTATTCAATTTTCTTCCAAGACCTAATGTTTAAATAATTCACTTTTATTATGCAATTTATATTTATCTAAAACATTTCCTAAGTTTTAAATAATGTTGATTATTGACTTTAACAATTATAATATACAGTCAGAGTGTGAGTTTGTATCCTACCTAATAGCCAGACTGCACTACTTGGCCTAGTATGCAAGGTCTGATTTGCCTAACAGGCAGAGTAATTGTTGTTATTTTCAAATATTTCTTTTCAAATTAGTTTATTTAAAAAGAAATATCTTATTTATATTATCAGCATTGAAATTTTGATCTGTTTGAGACTGATTGCTTCATACATACTGTACAGTAGTACTGTACCAATGTAAAGACCAATATTTATACTAACTGTACTTGCTACTGGGTAAGTAGCATGTTTTTCCCCACCCTCATAACACATCTGTGGCATACTTCATAATTATAGGCTCTGCTGTTCTGCATAAACATTGTGGCAGTGTTGCTGTGTTTAATATATCTCCAGCAGAAGAATTGCTGTTTAATGTATCTCCAGCTGACATTCTATGAGTTAGCATTTGTGATTACCAATCAGTTGTCACTAATGCTTTATTAAATTAAAGTACATGTACAGTATATTATACTGTAATTCATATATGGATTTGAACTTGTGACTTGCTACAATAATTGTTCATCTCATTGGTATCTAAACCTAAATGAATGCAGGTACAGTATTGTATGTTTGAAATAAATATTTCATTTGGTATGCTGATTTTTAACTAGCCTACTAATTTTTGATTGCACTGTCTCAGTTCCATTTTGTCTACTACATGGCCTCAAATGACCATTCATGAACCCAGCAATGAATGTAATGAAATGCTTACTTCTGGTAAATACTGTTGCAGAGATTGTTACAATTTAATGGGTCACATTTACCAATACAAAATTAAAGATCATGTACTTTTTTGTTTATTAACCATCTTTTATTCTGTATTATTAATACGGGAAAATTTACAGCATATAGTAATGTATATACAAAAATACAGTCTACAGAGAAGAATCATGTTAAACGGTTACTACTTTCACATAGCTGCTTTTTTACTTTTTCCTTAGCTGTAGCGACCACTGTAGCTTGATTCCTTTCCTGATCTCCATAAAAGTCGAGAAGCTCACGCAAACGCTGTTTTAGGCAATTTACTGAAGCTCTATTCTCTCGAGCCGAGCATGGTATAACATCATCAAAATTAACTAATTCGAGTGGGCGAAATTCTTCTGGGAAATTCATGCATAATTCTGCAGAGAAAAAACAAAACAAAATGTGATTAAGAAGCAATAAATGATTTACCATCAGATGCTTTAATACTCTACATGACAGATTAGTGAAAACAGGACACCATGAGTTTAACTTTCAAGCAGGTGCTGAAGCTAGAGCAAACCTCATAAGTAATTACAGTTCACTAGAAAACTATATTTACAAAATCATTTATCATCAACTGATGTGTGAAAAAATCTCTGAATGTTTTACACAAAATATATTAATTGGCATGAAAATACTGAGCAAAAACATTGATAAAATTAAGAACTCACCCTTCATCTGGCTAAGGTCTTTCAGGAGCTTCTTCAGATTGTCTTCAGCATTTAGGCAATCCATTTTGTTGATCATGAGCAAGGCAGGCTTATCAAGGAGGTCCGGGGAATATATCTCCAACTCCTAAGTAAAAGATACTACTGTAATTGAAAAGTTTATCTATAGTAAAAAGTAAGAGTAAAAACATGACCAAACCACACACCAGAAAATGAAGGTGTGTGTGATTTGGTCATCATGTCTTCAGCCACATTACTGTGACTCATCGTCTGCATCAGAGTAAAAACACATCTGTTACAGAATACAAGTGGCTCTAATGAGCAATAGTTAGCAATTATAGGTCTAATCATTTAAAAATGAGAAAAATGATTAGCTGAATTAATGAATGAATTAAAATGACAGACATGAAAATTAATCAAAATGCACTGAAATAAATTAAAAGTACAGTAAACATCTGTACAGCATTTACAGACAGACAAAGTGGAATGTGAAAAGTGCATCGCTTTAGATTTTTTGCATGTTCGGCATTACTATATAAAGTTTTTTTTTTCAAGTTTACAGCCAATGTGCGGGACTGTTCTGAAAGTATTGTTTAGGAATAAAGTGGCAAGGATAAAAAAAATGCAAAACTCATTTAACTAGCATATCTCTCACCACAGTACTGTATATCAACTAATACTTACATAAGTTTACATTTACTGAGGTCTCAAAAAATATCTTACCTTATTTAAGAGAATAATGTTTTCCACTGCAGTTCGGTATGGATGCTTGGGTCCCAACTGAAAACCATTGATATCAACAACAAAGAGAAGAAGCTTTGTTCTTTCAACATGTCTAAGAAATTTATGCCCCATGCCAACATTGGCCCATGCTCCTTCTATCAAACCAGGAAGGTCTGCAATGCTAATTTGGCGTCCATCTTCGAATTCTGCCATTGCAATATTGGGTTGCAATGTTGTAACTGAAACCAAACAGAGAAAGAGTATCATTAAAACAACCATAAACCAGTAGAGCTATTCACAATCAGAATTAGAGCTGTCTCACACACTTGTCTTGGAATCTACAAAAAAGTTCAATTTACTGTCATCATTACTACCCCCAATTCCCACTTTCATGGTGTAGAGACATATCAGGCCAGAAGAAATAGGAGAGCAACATGGAAAAAGAATAATAAAGATATAAAAAAATCCATTTGCAATATTTTCTATGCTACATACTGCATCATATAGAACTAGCACTATCATATGTGCAAGAAATTAACAAAAGTACTCCCAATGTTCCATACAACTAGGCAAGATGTGCTTTCCAAGAGTTGCCATTCAATGTTTTTTAAACACTATTTTAAACTAATTCCATTTGGCATTTTTCCTTATGACTTCTTGAGTACTGTTCATATTTAATCCTTGCTTCCACACGCTCACTGTATCTGTCCATTCTTCTCTTCCACCTCCACATTCACTTCAATACACTCTTAACCACTACTCGCATTCTGGTATTCATATATATTTTCAAAAAGGTACTATGGTTGTCAAGTACAAATTTTGTTAGTACAGTACATTCATGCAAAGAGTCGTCCTACAAACATTGTATATATATAAATGTATATGTATAACAAGAGGCTCCATCTCATAATTGATAAAAAACTGTTTCCTGTTGCATTTTCTGTTACCAGAACCCTTCACTGGCACAATTCTTGTAATCTGAGTTGACAAGGTGGCAGGATGCTTAGTCTTGACTAAACCACACACTAGAAAGTGAAGAGATGACGACGTTTTGTCTCTTCACTTTCTAGTGTGTGGTTTAGTCAACATTTTTCAGCCACGGTATTGTAACTCCTCATCTGCAGGATGCTTAGTATTTTCAATTAAATATCGAGACATGCAAGACCAGCCTTTATTGTCAATGCATACGGTGAAACCCAAGCCGAGTCAATGTTGTCTGTAATGCCACAATATCCTCCTCAAGGTCTGTTCCCACTTAACAATTCACATTGCCCTAACAATGATTCTTTAACTTCTTCGTATCATACCAATCTCGCTACTAAACTATTTCCCCAAATTATTTTTCATTCTAGCTTTTGTCACCACCAGAGTATTTGCAATTTAACAAAATTTCACATGCAAGCACCTTCAACTATGCCATGAGATATCGTTCGTTACCCAATGCAAAGCTAGTTCTCTTGATCTGCCACAAAATACAAAACCCTAACCTAACCAGAAACATAAGAACCCAAGCAATACACCTAACCTAACCAACAGATGCACTGAAAAGGTGTATATCTGCGAGCCACTTCTTTCCATAGTACAGCTGTATTTTGAACGTTGGGGGACCATAATGTACAAAATGAGATGTATTAGTTGAGAGGACAGGTTGCAATACCACTCTCCATCCATTCAAAGGTTTACTCCTTTCATTCTCTCTCTCACTCTTGCTCTTATAATCCTAAGCCATTCCCTCTCTTGATTGCTTTTTTAGCTTTGTTTCACATAAATCAAGAAATCTCTCCATAAAAACTTGCACCTCTTTTAAACTTCTTTTGCATTTCATTTATTACAATCATATTTCAAACAGCCATACAAGTCTGCTTTTGCTTTCTAGGAACCAGGCGGGGTGCAAGCTGCAAGCCGTAGACTCTGAGGGACGTTCAGGTAGATGGGTAGATGGGCTCAACATTCGAGGAATATGGTTATTTGCATCTCTCAGTGGTGGCAGGCAATAAGGATTGCCATATCCCTACCCTACTGAGGAATAGGCACATAGCAACCAGTGGTATACCAAATTTGTACAATTTTTTGTAATTACTCGTATATACAACCAACAGTCTATCTCCAAGAGTTTTTTGTCATTCATTTATACTAGTATTTGGAACTACAGTAGTCATAAGAATTAACAAATATCACAGAAACACTACTTACATGGGTAACTAGCAATTTTGGGTTTAGCCCTGGAAATTGCTCTTAAAAGTGTTGATTTACCAGCATTTGGAAAACCAACAAGACCCACATCTGCTAGCAACTTCAGCTCAAGTTGCAAATCCCATGCCTGTAGACAATAAATTGGGGTTAAGTGATATTAAATACTTCTTTCTGAGCATTCACTTAGTTTTTTTCCCTAAGAAAACAGCCAGAGTCTACACAGGACACTACAAAGATGCCAGGTTGTCATTGACCTTCCCCCCACCACAAGGAACACTATAAACAGTATTGCCATGTAACTGGGGAGGGAAGCCAGTCGAGCAAATGCTCGCTATCATACAAGATACGTGGCAACACGATTAATGAAGATGGAGATAGTGACCCTGACAAGCAATTAAAGAAATAAAAAACAAGGAGAAAGAAGATAACAGAACTAAAAATTACAACAGGCACGAGGATGGAACTGAGTAGGAGAAACAGACTTTCAGTAAACACCATGGTTGAAGCAGAGGAATAGAAGAAATTAACCAATGCAGAGAAGTGTGTCAACTAGCCTAAGGCAAGTGTTAAGGTAGAAGAGGAAGAGGAAAAGTGCAAAGGAAACAATAACAGGAAGATTACAAAAACTGGAGGTTGTTGGGTTGAGGACAGCAAAGTCTTTTGCAAAAGTAGTCAACAACAACAACAACAAAAAAAAAAAAAAAAAAAAAAAAAACAACAACAGAGGGAAGGGAGGCCTCATGGTAGGAGGAAAGAGGGATAGAGACTGAGTAGTGCTTGTGCTGCCACCTAGTGGTGAACAGGTGGCTGGTAGTTCAATAACTAATACAGTAGTTAGCAAAGGATAATGGGTTGTTGTGGTGATCTCAATTATTGCTAGAAGTGGATGTTGAGTGGCTCATGTTTATTCTTCTGTATGACAGAGTGGTGTTCTGATGATGGATTGTTAGCTTCCACTGTCATTCTCCAATCACATGTAAGACTAGAAAGGTTCCTTGTCACAGTGGGACAAAGGTAACAAGGGCCTGGCAAAAAGCCAATCATATTTTAAATGTTTAAAGAATTAATTAACTGAAAACAAGTATTGTGAGTATGGCAGTACCTGTAATACTATGGGGCACAATTATAATTTTAATGAATCAAACAGAAATAAAGTTTAGATATTAGTCCCTGCCCTCAGTGGATCAAGGTGAAACAGATATTTCTCTCTATCCCTTATCTAGGAAATAATGCATATAGAAAATATCTCAAATGTCAAAAGTGATAATGACATAGTAACTACTATATCCCTCCACTTAGTTAGGATTATACAATGTCATTTGAATACCAATGTTTCATCAAAATATAAACTAGATTTTTTATTTGGATGGGGGGGATAGTGGTAGATGATCAAGGAAGGAATCCTTTATTCCCTCTGAAAAAGACTATTTTATAATACAGAAATATATATACTTGTAAAACTTCTACACAAATACGTGCCAATACTACTGCATCTGGCCAATAACCAGGACAGTGGTTGCTAACCTTCTCACATGGACCACAATCTTGATCACCAATACACAGTAACTGGTTAACTTTTCAGTCGGTACAGTAGCTGAATCTACAGACTAGTGTCTCATGTCAGTTTATAGACCAACATCTCATTTATCAATTCATACTTCAGTTTTTGCCCATCCACTAAAAATAACTTTACCTACTTGAAAACTGGGATAAAATTAGATAAGCAGCAACGGCACAAACCTGCCCCTTCTGTCCATTGTACTGGTTGACAGGTGAGCCACCTGCTCCACCCCTGGCCACCAGCACCTTGTCTCCTACACAGTTAACATCACCTGAAATGTAAAGATTTTATTATTAAGCATACTGTTCTGTTCTATACACAAGTTATATAATTACATATATACAGGACATTGTATTTATTGTCCAGAATGCGTGAATAATTTGATTTGTCAGGGACAGGAAGCCTGTGTATAAACATACTTTAAGCTGGTATTAAGGTCCCCCCACGGACCAGCTACTGACATTTCCTAGGCTGAAACCCCACAAGTTGACTAACTGCCAGGTAGCTATTTACTGCTAGGTGAACAGACACATTAAGTGAGAATAAACATGTCCAACCATCAGGAATCTAATCCGGGATCCATGATTGTAAGTCAACAAGAGAACCAAATATACTACGAGATCCTCTGAATAGTGTCGGAGTGGAACATAAACAGTTCCACATAAACATTCCCACATAAACAGTGGAAAAGTTAGAGGTGGGTAATGGCAGTGTTAGTTTCTAGCTTGGATTAACTGGTTTCTGTAATATACTTAGGGATAAATTTAATCTTGCTAGAAGCTGAATAAAATAAAAGTTTCAGTGAAGATGTATAATTCAAAGATTAAATGCAGGAAACACCAAGATCAGAGAAGATTTCATTTGCAAATGATTATGTGCCTCTAAGGGCTTTCAGAAATTTAACGAAAATACAAAAGGCAAATGCTCATAAACAGAAAAAAAGGACAATGGGGTTAGGTTAGTGACATTAAGGTACTGTGTTATACATAAAATAGGATGCAAGTAAGTACTGTAAGTAATTATCAAAAGAAGGCACCAAACTGGGAAGGCTATGTAGCATCATCAAATGCGCAGAATAATCAGAGAGCGCTAAATATCACCAAGGATGCCAATATGAGAACAAAAACGCATAAGGCGAACGATATCAAAAGTATCCGAGTCGCCAAGAATTCTATTGAGGAACAGGTGACCGCGAGGGGCAGTCGAAAAGCAAGACACGCTCGTCCTGGAAGTCAGGACATTCAAGAAGGACATGCACGACCGTAAGAGGGACAATGCAACTAGGACAATAAGGAGCAGGGCGGCGCTTCATCAAGTGACCATGGGTTAAGCGAGTATGGCCAATACGCAACCTTGCCAGAGCCGTTTCCCATCGCCGGTTACGGTGGTAGGAGGACGGCCACAAGGAAACACAACATTTAAGAGTACTGTACGTAGTTTGTTACCAGTAACAGACGATCAAGAAGCCTGCCAATGGGTAAGGACGGAGGAATGGATAACCGGGTAAAAGTTGGAATATGGAATACCTTTAGGAGAGATGGGACAAGAGCGGACAGCTTCCTTGGCGGCAGCATCCGCAAGCTCATTTAAAGACACACCAATATGGCTGGGAACCCAACAAAACTCAACCAACTTAAATTTACTGTGAACAAGAAATAGCCAATGCTGGATCTCAACAACTACTGGCTGAATCGGATTAAAGGACCCGAGAGCCATGAGGGCACTAAGAGAGTCAACAAGTGTTACGACCCTGGGTTCTTTAGTTGGAAACCAGAGGTCAAAATTGAACTAAACTACCTTGTAGTAGTGGACACGCTTGTCGACGTGTAATTGTTCGTATCTTCCCTGCCAGACGTAGACAATTCTTGTTGCTCACAAAGCATTCAGACTCTTGAGCTTGTTGTGGATTAAGAAACATTGTTATAAGATTAACTCAACAACAACTACAAAGGAAGACTGACAACGAGAAAGCAGGAGACGAAGAGCATAGAGAATAGCACAAAGCTCCGCTGTAAAGATGCTAGTCTCCGGAGGTAAGTGACACATATAAGTGCGATCAGGAAAAACAACAGAGTAGCCAACACCGTCCGCAGACTTAGACCCATCGGTGAAGATAGAAACTGAGCGGGAGTGAGAAGAAAAGTGCTCAAGGAAAAGGCGTTTTAGAGCCGTAGAAGGGGTAAAAGCTTTAGTGATACGGGTCAAGGATGTACAAAACCGCGGAAGAGGGACTCTCCACGGAAGAAGGAACAACACGAGGAGAAACATTAGAAATACGAACGGAAAGAGAATCCTGTAGGCGAGATAACCGGACAGAAAGAGGGAGGTGGTGAAGAGGAACAGGAACAGCAGGAGGGGTAAAAGTTAGAGCACGACAGAGGTGAGAGGAAGGATGTTGTAAGGACCGCGCAAGATAGCGAAGACAGTAGCAATCACGGCGGTCCTGGAGAGACAGGAAGCCAGTGTCAACATACAAGCTAAGGACGGGAGTCGAACGAACGGCACCAGAACTGAGGTGCAACCCAGTATGGTGCAAAGCATCAAGACAGCGAAGAGTAGAAGGAGAAGCAGACGAGTAAGCAGGGCAACCATAATCGAGCTTAGACAGGACGAGAGAGGAATGCAAAGCAAGGAGAGTGCGCCTATCTGCCCCCCCAAGAAGTATGGGACAAGACCCGAAGGAGGGTAAGGGCCTTAGAGCACTCAACACGGAGGTAAGAGATATGGGGAGACCAAGACAAACTAGTGTCAAGGAATAACCCCAAAAGCTTCGCGGAATCTTTGTACTCAAGGGGATGACCATAAAGTGACAAAGAGGGACGAAGAACGACTCGTTTCCGCATAAAAGTCATGGCACAAGTCTTAGAAGTAGAGAACTTGAAGCCATGATCAATGGCCCAAGACGACACGGCATCAATTGCAAGTTGAAGCCGGCGCTGAAGGAGAGGCGAATCATCACCCTGACAGCAAAGGGTAAGATCATCGACATAGAGAGCGGAGAAGACACCTGAAGGAAGAGAGGAAAGAAGACCATTGAGGGCAACCAGAAAAATAGTGCTCAGAATACTACCCTGGGGCACACCTTCATATTGCTGAAAAGAGGCAGAGAGAGCAGTACCAAGGCGCACCCGAAAGGAACGACGAGAGAGGAGCTGCGGAGAAAGAGAGGGAGATGACCACGAAGGCCAAAAGAATGAAGTTGAGATAGAATATGATATCGCCAAGTGGTGTCGTAAGCCTTTTCCAGGTCAAAAAGGACGGCAACAACGGAGGTCTTCGCAGCAAAAGCAGTACGAATATAGACCTCCAAGTTCACCAGGACATCTGTCGTGCTGCGGCACTTGCGGAAACCAAATTGAGAAGGGGAGAGGAGGTGATGGTGTTCCAGGAACCACATCAGACGAACGTTAACCATACGTTCAAAGAGTTTGCAGACACAACTTGTGAGAGCAATAGGGCGAAAGTCCTTAGAGGAAGTACCCAGAGACCCCGATTTGCGAACAGGGAGGACAACGGCATCGAGCCAGTCCTCAGGGACTGACGACGACTCCCAGATCCGATTATACAGACTCAGTAAATACTGAGACGTGCACGGAGGGAGATGGCGAAGCATCTCATAATGAATACCATCGGAGCCCGCCGCCGTAGAACCGCAGAGGGCCAGGGCAGAACGAAGTTCAGAGAGAGAGAAGGGATCATTATAGGGAAGCTGAAGACAAGTGCAGAAATCTAAAGGACGAGACTCAAGGACAGGTTTATGAAGAAGGAAAGATTGGGGAAGATGAAGATCAGAGCTAACAGAAGAAAAGTGGGAACCCAGTTCGGAAGCGACCTGCAACGGGTCCGCCACAAGAGTATCATGGTGGTAAAGGACCGGTGAAACAACGGGAACGAACTTAACCGCTATCTTGCGGATACGCTTCCAGATCTGGGGCAGAGGAGTTTTGGACGTAATTGTTGAGACATAAGATGCCCAACATTCACGTTTAGCCATACAGATGGCCCTACGGGCCACCGCACTCGCTTTCCGAAAGAAAAGAAAAGAATTGGCTGTCTGCCGACGGCGGTGCCTCTTCCAGGCTGCACGCTTACAGCGGACAGCTCGAGCACAATCCGCATTCCACCAGGGAACGCACTTCCGCGGACCCCGAGAGGAAGAGCGAGGAATAGAGCAGAGGGCAGCATTGAAGACAGTGTCATGAAAAAGGAGGAGAGCATGAGGGAGAGGCACAAGGGAGAGGTCAGAGAGAGCAGCACTGAGGGTAAATAGGTTCTAGTCCGCCTTAGCAAACTGCCACCTAGGGAAGGAGAGGGAAGGGCGAAAAGAGAAAAAGGAAACAAGGATGGGGAAATGGTCACTGCCATGGAGGTCATCAAGAACCTGCCACGTGAAATCTACGTAAAGAGAAGAAGAGCAGAGAGAAAGATCAAGACAGGAAAGGGTGCAAGTCCGAGAGTCCAAGTGAGTAGGCTCACCAGAATTCAGAAGAGACAGGGAAGAAGAGAAGATAAACGGTTCAAGAAGGCGACCTCGGGTATTCGTCAGAACATCACCCCAAAGAGAATGATGACAAATGAAATCACCCAGCAGGACCACAGGCTCCGGCAAGGAGTCCAGGTGGTGTTTCAAATCAGGAAGAGAAAGCGGGACACTCGGGGGGAGATAAATGGAACAAACTGTGTACCATTTCCCCACAAAGATACGAGCAGCAGAACAATGTAGAGGCGAAGGAAAAAGTAAGGGGACAAAGGGAACATCAGCGCGAATCAAGAGAGCAGAAGAATTAGGAGCCCCAGCAACAGCTGGGGGGGGGGGGGCAGAGAAAGGAATAGCCACGAAAACGACCAGGACGAGCACCAAGCATCGGCTCCTGAAGACAGACACAAAGGGGCGAAAAACGCGAAATTAGAAGTTGGAGTTCGAGGAAATTGGCGTAAAAATTTCGAACGTTCCATTGAAGAATAGACATCGACGAGAAGAGAAAGGACAACAACAAAGAACAAGGAAGAAACAAAGGCGAAAGAGCAACAGAGCATGTTAAAGAATATCAGGGTCGGGATCAGGGTCAGCAAAGTCAGGGTTAGGGGGCATGGGTAAACTGAGCAAAGACGGAGGGAAGGAAGCGGGAGAACAGACTAGAGGTGGGCGGGCGGGGTCCGGAGGAGGAGGAAGAGGAGGAGACAACGGAGAGGAGCAGTCAAGGACAGCAGCAGGAAGAGGGGGAGTAGAAAGAGGGGAGCGCACCTCAGCAAGGGCAGCAACCGAGAGGGAAGGGGGGCCAAAGAAACCTCCATAGCAGAAACAGGGGGCACAACCACTGAAATGGAAGGGGAAGGAGCAATAGAGCTAGTAGTAGGGGCCGAGGAAGAAAGCGAAGCCTTCTTACCCGCCGGGGAGGAGGAAGGAGAGGAGCCAGGCTTACGCTTCTGACGCAGAGAGACCGGTGTCCCAGCAACTACGTACTGGGCAACGGATTCCAGCGTCTCAACAGGAGAAGCTGAACGAGAGCACACACGACGGCCGTTAGGAGAGCGATGGACATCCGCCTGCACCGACAGGTGGCGGGGAGAGTCAATAGATGGAGGAGAAGGATGGGAAGGAGGATCAGAGGGAGACGAGGAAGAAGATACAGGAGACATGACAGACCGGGTAGAAAGAAGGGGAACCCCAGACAGAGGACCAGGAGGGGACCCTTCGGGACAGAACTCAAAGGAACAGAGGAGGGGACAGTGGGCGCATCAGGGTCCAAGGCCCGAAAACAGTTGAGAGTCTAAGGAAGGTGGGAAGGACGAGGAGAGGAAGAGCGCAACACACGAGCATAAGAGACGTTAGCATAAGGCGGGAGCCGGCGAACCTGGCGCCTCGCCTCGGGAAAAGATAAACGCTCCCAGTGCTTCAAGTTGAGGACGGCTGCCTCAAGCTTGTAATGGATACAGGCACGGAAGAAGGTAGGATGGGCCTCACCGCAGTTGAGGCAGCGAGCTTGGGGAGAAGTGCACTCCGACTTAGAGTGACCTTCATCCCCACACAAAGGACAGAAAGACAGTCCCAGAGCAGCGGAGGGCACCATGCCCAAACCTCCAGCACTTGTTACAAAGCCGAGGAGAAGGAATATACTCCTGGACAGAGCACCCGGCACCAGCAAGAATGACAGAGGATGGAAGGGTCCTACCATCAAAGGTGACCTTCACAACTCGAAGGGGTTGAAGGCGACGACCACGAGGGGGACGAGTAAACGAGTCTATCTGGAGGACAGAATGGCCCTGGGCATCAAGGATATGTCGAATATCGTCGTGGCAGTCTCGCAGATCTCTAACACCAGTCGCAACATGGGACGGGAGGAGAATAGTGCCAACACTGGCGTTCAACTGAACGTTCTTTGAGACCCGAACAGGGATCTCGCCAAGGCAGGACAAGGCAGCCAAGCGGGAAGCAGCAACCTGAGAAGGAGCAGCAACGACACGTGTACCGAGACGAGTGGGGTTGAAAGTAACAGACGCATCCACGGAATCAACGAGATACCGATGGAGGGAGAAATCGTCAGGCGGCGCAGAATCAAGAGGGAGGAGATCAGAGTATTTGGCCCACGAAGCAGGACCAAATAATGCCTGATAAGCATCAGTACAGGAAGGAAACGAGCGAGTGCGGTCGTGGCTCCGACGGCGTTGAAAACCCCCAGAGAGAGAGAGAGGGGTCAAAAGGAGCAGTAGTCACAACGAGAGACTTAGCCGCACCAGGGGACGAAGTGGTCACCACTGGGGGAGTGAGGTTCGACCCAACCACAGAGGAGGGAGGGGAGCTGGGGGAAGAATTCAGGATGGTCAAAGGAGGAGCAAGGTCGGGGCCCAATGCAGCAGGGGCTACAGAGCCCGGTCTTCCAATACAGGCCGACTCGGGGGCTTGGTCGCCCACCCCACAAGCCTGAGAGGGTACAACAGAAACTTTTAACAACAGAGACGTAGAGAAAGAAATTCATCCACGAATGTGCCCCCATACCCACCATGGAGCCACAATTAGAGGCAGGACACCCAACAGGAAGCTATTGCCGATCATGCCGTGGCCCCCTAGGGGTGCGTCGTGAGTATACGCCCCACAAACGCCACCTTAAGAACCGTCAGTCCGTTGAGATCGGGTTCAACGACGAAAGGGGGATTGACAATAAAAGGTTCCCCCTCGCTCGAGACGTCGGGTACTACAGTTCTACGGGTGCAAGAGTATGGCTCCTCAAGCACCCGGGCGTCAAAATAGAAGAAGTCCAAAGGAAGAACCAAAACAAGCAAAAGATCGGCAGGAAAAGACAAGCAGATAGGAGAAGAGGGGGGAAAAAACCGAAACAAAAGGAAAAGGAAAAGCGATCCGGCACAATTAGAGAAGACAGCAGCAGGAGTGCAAGGCCACCAAAGGACAGAGGACTGTCTCACGGAGCATCACACTCCAGCAGCCGTCCACTAAGCCCCCCTCACGACGCCAACGGGCCGGATGGGGAGGGGGGAAATAGGATGCAAAACATTATGTAAACACATATATCATCATGTGTCTTCCCTCACTTATGCCACATTCATATCATCCATTGTCCCCTTCCCTCTTTTTTTTATCTTTACAAGCATTTGCCCTTTGTATCTTTGTTAGATTTCACAAATCCCTTACAGGCAAAATGCCATCTACATTTAAAGGCTATTCTTATCTTAGTTTCTCTACATCATTGCCAGTACTGTGTGCTCTCTTCAAAGACTAAAAACAAACTGGAATTTTTATTTATGAGTGACTAAACAGGAGGAACTTAACTGACCAGGTTTTGAAGAAGTTCAGCTGAACGATGGTAGCGATAACCAGTATGACACACTCCATTGAGACTAATATCCAGGAATGGTTTATGGCAAACTCAAGTATATCAAGACCAGAAATATACTTATATTACCCCACTCTTTAACTGGAGGAGTGCCCAATCAGTTTAAACACCCAGATCCGCAACGTCATTTATGATATTATCAGGCATTTTGTGAGGAGGAAGCACCAAGTGCTGACAATGGTTACTTTGCTTTGAGGTTACCTTGAGGTGCTTCCGGGGGTTAGCGTCCCCACGACCCGGTCGTCAACCAGGCCTCCTGGTTGCCGGACTGATCAACCAGGCTGTTGGACGCGGCTGCTCGCAGCCTGACGTATGAGTCACAGCCTGGTTGATCAGGTATCCTTTGGAGGTGCTTATCCAGTTCTCTCTTTAACACTGTGAGGGGTCGGCCAGTTATGCCCCTTATGTGTAGTGGAAGCGTGTTGAACAGTCTCGGGCCTCTGATGTTGATAGAGTTCTCTCTCAGAGTACCTGTCGCACTTCTGCCTTTCAACGGGGGTATTCTGCACATCCTGCCATGTCTTCTGGTCTCATGTGATGTTAATTCAGTGTGCAGGTTTGGGACCAGCCCCTCTAATATTTTCCACGTGTAAATTATTATGTACCTCTCCCACCTGCGCTCAAGGGAGTACAGTTTTAGGCTCTTTAGTCGGTCTCAATAGTTTAGATGTTTTACTGAGTGGATTCTAGCAGTAAAGGATCTCTGCACGCTCTCCAGGTCAGCAATTTCTCCAGCTTTGAAAGGGGCTGTCATTGTGCAGCAGTACTCCACTCTAGAGAGCACAAGCGTTTTGAAAAGTATCATCATCGGTATAGCATCTCTAGTGTGAAAAGTTCTTGTTATCCAACCTGTCATTTTTCTTGCAGTTGTGACGGCTACTTTATTGTGTTCTTTAAAGGTAAGGTCTTCCGACATGAGTACACCCTGATTCTTTACATTGCCTTTACGTTCTATGTTATGATTTGCCTGAGTTTTGTACGTGGTTTCCGTTTTTATATTTTCATTTTTTCCATAGCGCATGAGCTGGAACTTATCTTCGTTAAACACCATATTATATTCTGTAGCCCATAGAAAGACCTGATCTACATCTGACTGGAGATTTGCCGTGTCCTCTATGTTGCCTACTCTCATGAAGATCCTAGTGTCATCTGCAAAGGATGATACAGTGCTATAGGTTGTGTTCTTGTCTATGTCCGATATGCGGATGAGAAAAAGTACTGGAGCAAGCACAGTACCCTGGGGGACTGAGCTCTTCACAGTTGATGGGCTGGATTTTATTTTGTTGACTATTACACATTGGGTTCTGTTGGTCAGGAAATTGTAGATCCATTTGCCTATTTTTCCGGTAATTCCTTTTGAACGCATTTTATGTGCAATAACACCATGGTCACATTTATCAAAAGCTTTTGCGAAATCTGTGTAAATTACATTAGCGTTTTGTTTGTCTTCCATAGCATCTAATGCCATATCATAGTGGTCCAGCAACTGTGACAGGCAAGAGCGCCCTGTTCTGAAACCATGTTGTCCGAGGTTATAGAGATGCTGTGATTCCATGTATTTTGTGATCTTACTTCTTAGCACTCTCTCCAAATTTTTTATGATGTGCGATGTTGATAATACAGTTGAAACAAAATTTAGAGAAATCAGTTTGTAGATAATATTTATGTCACAATAGTTATGTATGGTAATATCATACATAGTTTCCCTAGTAAATATTAAAATATTACATTTGACAGTCTAAAATTGTTGTATGTATTGAGAATGTATAAACAATATGACAAATTTCGCCTATATATTAACTCAAAAGAAATTTAAATGTTCAATAAAAAGTAGGTTTTGCAATTGGAGAACAGAAACTTTTATTGTTTTAACAATTAATATGGAGTAAATAATAATGAATGATACACTCAATACATCACAATAATTTATTTGTAAATAATACTTCTACTAATTTAATGAGAAAGCACAAATGATATAACACATACACTGATCATATAATCACATGAAACAACAAATACACTGATCATATAGTCACATGATACAACAAATACACTGACCAAGTAGTTTTTGTTGATCTAATTTGATTGAAGTACCAACAGGAACAGGAATAGTAAGGTCTTCAGCTCCTTTCCCCAAGATGAGAAACTTGCTGCTATTGCCACCACTAGCTGCAATCCAGCGTTTTCCAGGTTTAGCATTTAATGTTTTCTTCAGGGTATATTCTGAAAAAGAAAATATACACCTGCAAAAAGTGAGACCATCACTGGACCAACCAGCCCAAGTGGTTGAGTGTTTATACAAGTAAAATGAAATACCATATGTAGATTGATTTGAAATCTTTTTTTAGTTTTTAATATTGCTTTCTTGAATATATACTGGAACTAAGGCAAAAGTTATCGTATAGACAGTGATAAATAAAACTATAATTTGAAAATGGATTTTACAACCTGTCCTCCCGATTAGATAGTAATTTTTGTAACTATAGTATTTGGACTATCATACGTGTATTGATGAAATGGACAATTACATAGTAAAATTTGGTACTACAGTGTTCATTTTATATTCTAGAAAAAATAAAGCTAAAAATCAAACAAATATTTCTAGGTCTAGTATAGCACATATATACTGTATGTACTATTTTAGGTCTCAGATAGTGTGTATTAGACCCAAGATGGTTTTATTTGGTTAGGTTTTAGTGGCAACGAATACAAAAACTTTTCTGGTTTGTCCAAATTAAGTAGTACCAAATTCTACTTTGGTACTACTAAATTTTGTCTATTACATCAATGGTCCACACTGTTACTATAAGTACTATCTAAATAGGAGGATGGCCTGGGATTTTGTCACTCATATCAATACAGTATTCAGTACTACAGTATATTCAAGGCGGCCTGAATACAATCATAATATGCCAATTGTTAGAATTCTCAAATCAACATAAATATGTTACATAAGCGAGCCAAATTACCTTTACAAGCTTCCACGTAAACATCTCCACCTTTGCCCCCAACACCACCAAGTCGAGGAAACCCCAGACCTCCACTGCCACCCTTCACGTGCACTCGAAGAGTATCTATAAATTTTCTGCTGAGTTTCTTCATTGCTTCACAGATCTATTTACAGGTATCTGTAAACAAAATGTTCAGGGTACAATGTTCAGGATAATCCAGGAATCACACTATAACATGACAATACCTTCTGAATTATGATGCAAGTGAAAGGAGTTTGCTTCCTATTATTCTCTGACTTATGTAAATTTAGTTTGAAGGCAGAAATGAGAAATCATTTATAGTGAAATATCTACAGATCAGTCTTTATCTACTTATAAACTCTCCACTACCAAAGTTTCTTCCACTAAGTGTGGGGGGGGGTGGTCAAAATGGGCCCCCAGTGTAGGCATACTACTCTTTAAAGAAACTTACCCCTATCCTATTCTAACATATCCTTACCTAACCAAAATACAGTAATACAAAAATTCGTTATTTTGACATACAAACACGTATACTCTGCTGCACTGCCACTGACGTTCTACCAATGATGCGTTTCATTTAGCCTTCCAATAAATGCACGAGCAGATGTGTAGTGTTACTTCTCTTCCTTTGTGTTGTTGTTATTAGTGTATAATGGCTACGGTAGATGAGAGGTGTACCAAGTCCTGCCACTGTTGGTGGGAAGACACTCGCCGCCGAGCACCAGCCACAGTCTCTCCTCAGGCAGCTTGATCGTTTGCATTAACATTCAACACTCACGTTTTCTTTCATGGATGATAACGCGATGGTTATGGATGGTTTCCTATTGTCATTAATATAATTTATAATTCGTTTTTGTCGGGATGATGATGATGATGATGATGATATGCTGTGTAACCCTTTCCACTACCGCCCACAAGATGGGTATGGGGTGCATAATAACTGAGCTAAACTAACTGACCCCAGACAATATGGGCGTCAAGCATGGTACAAAGTGACCTGTTGAAGAGGAGTGCCAGACGACAGTATCGAATCCCAAAGGCCAATAATCGCGTTCCACTGAGCTGTGGTGCCAAGGCCGAGCAGGTGTCAAGGTTCCACCAGGAAGGAAGGAATTATCAGGAGAAGCACCAAGCCATTATAACTATAGGGTTCCACCAGGAGTCCCATAGAAAACGTGGACCTTTGCTCCATAGCATTATAAGCGATGTCGGGCGCCATCATCACAACATCCATCACTGCAAAGTGCTCATTACATCTTTATTTTATTTATTTATTTATATACACATACACAAGACGGCACACTGAAGTGTGTTAAGTGACGCATCTGCCAACATTACCACTCCTGCAGTCAATCGGCTGGAGGGCCTCGACTGCTCGGACTTGAGTGTATTACCTCGGGAAGAGAGAAAACTCTCAGCACACTTCACGAATGACTTGGAAGTTCAGGCTAATACCCATATGTAATGGAGACCTCAGGCAGGGAAGGGAAGTCGATTTGTTATATGAGTCTGGCGGAGGCTTTCCTGACGCGGCTGCGGCAGGACGCTGAGCACAGGACCCGGACCAGGATCCTAAAGGGCGTGGGCGTTCATGTCCTCCCAGTCACCATGGACAGACAAGACTTTATATACGACTACTTAACAAAGCTCTATGATCAAAAGAAGGGTACTTTTAGTAAGCCAAAGATTTTCGCTAAACAAACTATTTATGAGTGTGAAAGGAGTAATGCTTGTAAAGGTGAGTACTTTCCTCTGTGTGTTGTTAAAGACAGGTTAGTAGAATTACCCCAAACTTTTACAATTGCATAAAGACAAAATTAAACATGTCATTATTGCAATACTGTATTTGTAATGAATGTAGAATGTGGATAAACATAATTGTAGTCAGAAACAAGCTCAATTTATATTGAAATAAGACCCATGTAAGATGTGGGATTGTATTTTTTATCCACTGCTGTTCAGTATTTAATATTTGTACTGTGTTTATATAACGGAGTTCATTGGTGGAATGGCCATTGTAGTTTCTGAAATACTGTACTATTCATTGGGTTGCAATGACTCCGTGGTCAAGACTCGAACACTGTCTGTCCTCAGTGAAGATTTGTTTAGAAGTATATCTTTTGCAATAAAATTACAGTATATATTGTCCTAGTAAGTTTATTACAACATTTCTTATTTCTGTATTTTCAGGAAGATCATCTGGCGATCCGACAAAGACACGAGCTAATGGTTGCAATGCTTATGTGTCTTTTATGTTTGAAGAAGGAGCAACCGTGACAGCTTGTGTTATCCGCTTCAGGCTCATACATAATGGTCATGATCCCACCAACAGAGAGGAATCCAGGGTCAGCAGGATTGATCTCACATTGAAGGTTATGATTGAAATAAATATAAATAATGGTATGAAAATTAGTGACATCATGAATGAAATTGCTAAATGGAACAAAATACATAAAAATACAGATCACCGGAACCGTAGATATTTTCCGACACGACAAGACATTCAACAATTAGCTTTGTCACTAAAGAAACCTCTAACAATTACACGCAATATAACCTTCGACACTAAGAAACCCAGGAAATATGATACCGTCAACAAGGATAACATTTCAAGATTGATAAGAACAGAACTTAGAGAGACCTGTGTTTATTATCAGTCTCAGACCATTACTGGTGCTAATCCACGCCCGCTGATTATTGTTCTCCAAAACAATGACATGAGAGAAAATTTTATTCACCATGGCCAGCATATGGTATTTATAGAAAAGAATTATGAAGGTTAGTGAATAGAGAATAAATTAGAGCTGTTGAATTATATAGAGAAATTTTAATATCTTGGTGATATATAATAAATAATTATAGTACTGTATAGCAATCTCTTGATGATATATAATTATATATCAATCTACTAGGGTAGATTGTATAAGAGGTGTATATCTGTATACCTATATGAGGTATACGATAGGTTTGTTGTACATAGTGTACTGCATAATATATTCTCTTGATAATATCCACTTGAAGAGAGTTGAGAATCACTTTCCTCATAATTCTCTTGAAACTGCCTATATGACAGGTTTCATTACATTCAATGCCGAATTTTTGAAGATTATGATAACATTACCAGATTTCTGGTCTCGCCATATTCTTCCTTGATCCAGGTATTATCTAAATAGTAGCTTTAGTGGTATACATAGCTCATTCTCTATTTTTTTGCATTTTGGACTGAATTCCGTCCTGGAAACTTTAAATGTTCCAAATGGGAATAAGAAATCTTGTTACATAAGGAGTGGAATAAAAGTAAATACAGTATTAGATTTTATTCACATAAATCATTATGTAATATTTGTTTTCTGGGGCTATCCCACTCAGTTGCCTTATAAATCATGATTCTACTGACCTCTGATTAGGGGCTAGCACACTCAGGGAAGGTCGGCAGTCAGCAGTTGCACAGTAGACTTTTTCCCTGTCACATCAAAGTCATACTGGTGCTAGGGAGACACTGGTGATTATTCAACCCGTCCCAAACTCACAGGGACAGTGCCTTAGCTACCAAATGGCCCACTGTCCTGACTGCAACCACCAACACCACAGTAAAGTGGCTAGCCCAACCTCAACTTACCCCAGGGGGCAGCTTATATTGACTTGCAGACACCAAAATTATTCAGTAAAGTTGCTAATGTTATCCTCAGTAATTTTGCAATTAATTTGTGTAGTGGGCTATGAAACATCGGTAAATCTCGTGTTTGTGGACTTTCACTAATTGTGAAAGTCCAGAAACATGAAACGTGTGTGTGTGTGTGTGTGTGTGTGCGCGTGCAAGTGTGCATATACACGTGCTCACATGTAAGTATTAGTATGTTCACATCTGCTTGGCCAGTACTTTTTAGTCTATAGCACATTGAAATTTTCAGGTCTCAGGCAGTACGGAAATGCTGTGTACGTCATAGTGGTGAGGGATGATAGTGGAAATGGTTTCCCCGTTGCTTATATTATTACTAGCGATGATGATGGCCTGACATTTGTCCAGGCCTTACAAAAACTAACCACCAGGTGCCAAATTAAGCCAAGGTTTGTGTTATCATGTATATACATATATATATACAGCATATATAACAGGCAGACTATTCAGGTGTTTAATGAGCACTATTTGGTGGTCCATGTAATGTCAAGTAATGCTTAGAAACACTTTGACTTTATTGAAATGAGTCATCTAGAGACCATTCCAAGCTGGATGATTATTATCCAGTGTCTCTTTAGTGTCAGTTTAACAGAGTGGAGAAGTTTGTAAAAGATCATAACTGTTCCAGTGCAGTGCTGACCTATCCAGACTATGCTAGGTCCTGATTGATTTTATCAGTAAATACTGAAAAAAGGGGAGATTAGAAGAATGAGAGTAGGGGAATATTTGTGAAAAAAAGTGCAGAGGGGAAGAGAGAGGGAAGGAGAGAGAAACTGGGTGCATCTGGATATTCCATCTAGTCTCTTATAATTTAGAAATGTTAGGCACACTGTTACTGAGAAATGTTGTTAAACAAATTGCTTCATGAAATTGTGCTTCCTTGTTCAAGAAATAAGTGTGTGTTAAACTGTATATATGTTTATATTATAGTAAGTGCATATAGAAAAAAGCCAAGATAAAAGCAAACTTTATTTGTAATGACATTTGACCTGTAAAAGATATTAACAAATCTAACATATACTGTATACAGGTCAAAGTTTTTAAAGGTCATCATCTACAAATTGTCTACTTTCAACTTGGTGTTTCTGTACATTATTGTCAGTACCCTTGGGCTCTGTTCATCCAGTTATAAGTGAAGGTTTTAATTACACTTGCAAATATTTCAGGGTGTTCTTCTTAGATCGAGAGATACACACACTCTCAACAACGATGGCTGGGATTTATCCTGAAAGTAATTTTTTCATATGCTGGTATCATGTGGCTCAGGTAAGAATTTACTGTATATATATTTTTTGGGGTATGAAAAAGTATTCAAATCATAATCTGAATTGAATATGATTAATTCATACATACTATCTATGAATAGGAATGTATAATTGTGAAAAAGGCCTTTATGCAGTAGTGATAGATATAAAACTAAGCTATTGGGTATAGATTTTTCTTTGCATATTACAAATTATATAATTATTGTTTTCAGGATGTTCACAGGTGGCTTCAGAATTCAGTGGTATCTGGAAAGGAGCACGCAGAGGTGCGCAGAGTTCTTGTCCACTACATTCTCCAGCTAAAAGGATACACCATGGTAGGACAACACGACATCTTTATTAAACATTACAAAAAGCACTGAATGCTGTATATTCACAAAAAATATGCATGACATGCAGAATATTAATGTGAAACTTTTGTTTTCATGTGAGTAGATACACTTTTAACTATGGTAAACAAAACATTTACATGACGGCAATGAGTCACAATAACGTGGCCGAAGTATGTTGACCAGACCACATATTAGAAGGTGAAAGGACGACGACATTTTGGTCCGTCCTGGACCATTCTCAAGTCGATTGTGAGGTTGTGATTGTCAAGTCTCACAATCGACTTGAGAATGGTCCAGGTTGGACTGAAACGTCATCATCCTTTCACCTTCTAGTGTGTGGTCTGGTCAACATTTACATGACCATGGTAGATGAAGAAATTACATAACCAAGGTAGATGAAGCACTTAAATAACTGTGGAAGATGAAGCACTTACATAACCATGGTAGATGAATCGAATTATAAATACTGTATCCATGAAATTGTTGTTCTGAAACAAAATAACGACTGGATTGAGATTTTAAGGCCTTATTTTATGGATGGTGCCATGTTTCATACATGATCATATGACATAATGTACTGTAACACGTAAACCACAAAAATGCTTAGCCACAAAGCTCATACCATGGCACAATTGAAATCTGAACTTGCTAATTTGGGGTTGGAAATAATCAAGATTTATGAAAATTTGTTAAATTTTGGCTATTTATCACCAAATGTTTGGAAGCTTTCTTATACCAAATGATGGACCACATCTTTGTGCATTATTTAACATGCCAATGTTCCATAAACAATGCATTTTGAGGATAGATAGACATAAATTTATGCTCATTATTTGCATTCTCCTTTCTCCACATCTTTTCATATACAGTATAGAGTTGCATCTATTTAGTGAAATCATAAGTTCAATCCATCCCAATGTGATGGATTGAACCAGAAGAACCTGAGTGCACCGAGTCTTAGTCGTCATCTTTGGTCTTCTCTTGCCTATGCTCAGAATGTGACCAGCTGGAAATTACTATACATACTATGTATAGAATATTCTGATCTCACTGGGAGTGCTTTAATAAATCTGGATCAAATTCAAATTTTCTTGTTGTGCCTTTTTGGTATACCAATAGAAATGGTTTGTTGAAAGCAATATAAATCCTATTGAAATAATAAGTCCTTATGTTACATGATGTGTATTCAAAGTGATTTTGATCCAGGCTAGCACAGAGATCTGTGGCTGTATAATGCTTAGAGGTGAACAAATTTCTACAATTTCATGATATATTTAGTTTCTTAGTTATCCTATCCTTTAAGTTTTATTCTCATCATTTAAATTTGATACACTATGTATTCCCAGTATCAGTCTTACCACTCTAATTGTGAGCTAAGTTTCTGGGGGTAGCCCCAGTGGTCTCCTGAAGCTAACTCACTGAGATAGCTTCCCACTATTGAGTCACATCAGTCGTGTGAGTTTTGATGCCTACCAGGGACCAGAGCCAGACCCTGTCCCCCTCGTACAGTTGCACAGTTCTGGGTATTGTTCTGATCACCCACACACTGGTTTTTTATTGGCTGTACGTACACTTGCTCACTCAAGTTATAACTGTGATGATTTGTAAACATTACTAACAAATAAAGCTTCTAAATCTAAAATCTAAATACCCTAGTACAAAACACACACAAATCACAATAACGTGATGCATCAAATGAACCATGTCATAGCTCAGTCGATTAAGGCAGCGTCTGGGATGCTCCCGGACGCAGGTTCGAATCCTCATCACGGCCCTTGTGGATTTGTTCACCCTAGTACAAAATTTGTACTTTTTTCTGGGGGAAGCCCCGTCGGCTCCCCGGAGCTATCCCAGGCTGATATGCTAATGTCAGACTTTGGCATCAGTCATTTGTATGGAGTTCTTAGACCTACCGGGGACCACGGCCAGAACCGGGCCCCCTCAGAGAGGCAAGGGGAGCAATAGCCTATAGAAGCCCCCGTGTGGTTGGAAGCATTCTATGTCTGCCATCGACCGGAACAGGCACCCAGAAAGGTAAGCACCTCAAAACAAACCCCTATTCTGGTTAAAATTGCTACCAAAAGCCGAACTAGTGGATAGAACTCCCCAACAGAAAACAAGCAAACTAGTGTGACGTCACACGCCGCCGCGCCGCTGTCTGCGCAGCTCCCCCCTCCCCGGGAGGGGGAAGGGGGAGCCCCAGACCCTCCACGCCGGCTACCCACACCTCAGTTCTTGAGGCTGATGCTATAGGCGATGGTCGTATGCTCTGGCTCCGGTGTCGCTACTGCACTGTGCTTTGCATGTGGTGTTTGTTTTTGTGGGTGCGAGAGCCAGGAGTTATCTTCAGTACTCGGGCTGCATGTGCCTAGGGCTGCCTTCCCTAGGTGCCCTGTAAGTACTGCCCTTGGGGCCACCTTCCACAGGCTCCTCGGGGTCTGCCTCTGCTGGTCCGTTTTACCTTTTCGTTTTTTCGGCCGCCTGTTGAGCTCTTGGGTGTTCTGTTCTTCCTTGTTACCGGCAGGTAAGAGGCAGTTTGCACTGGTAGGGGCGCAGGGTGCTGCACAGCTTGTATTCCCGACATAGCGGCCGGCTCTGTTCCTTGGGGTTCGCTGTCCTCTTGCGGGGTTTTGTTTTTCTTTTTGTTTTTGCCTGGTGGGGGGTTCTGTCATATTATTCCATTAGTTTTTGCCCTTCCACTGTTCTCCTCAGTGGCACCCCCTGCTAGATCCCAGTGAGTGTACACGTCCCTGGGGTACAGCTATAGAAGTTCGCTTGGTAGTTTTGGGCGCCAGTTAGCAGCGCCCTGCCTGGGACTACCTGAGCGCGAGTCCTCTTAAAGTAAATGCTCAGGACCCTGGGAATCCCCTAGGGGGCGCTTGGGTCCGATGGATGTGACCCCGGAGTCCCCGCTCGCTGTGTGCGAGTTTGAGGATTGCTCGGTCCCCTTGTCTCAGGGTGACCCTCATTGTTTTTGCCTCTGCCACGCTGCCTGTTGGGTTGGTGATACTTTCGACCCTGAGTCCTGTGAGTGTTGCTGCTTGCTTGTGACTCAATTTACCCAATCCTCTGATGATTCTCTTCGGGTACAGGCAGCGCGTGCGTTGCAGTCTAGGTTTCGTCTGTTGCAACGCACTCGGTTGGTTGCTCACCCGGATGCCCCGGGGCTGCCCCACTTTGCTTTTCGAGACCTGGACTTGGGGGTGGGGGTCGCTTCGATCCTGGTTCAGTCCGCACCTCCTCGTCCTTCCCCTTCTGTTCGTTCTGGTCCTCCCCCCCCCCCTGCTTCTGGCCCCGAAGCGTCTGAGGGTTTCGGGGTCGGAGCAGGGGTTACTTGATCTCGAGACTCGGGCAGCTTCGGGGGGTGCCCCTTCCAGGAGGGGGGGCAGCAGAGGCAATCGAGTCTTGTCTCCCAGCCGAAGCTTCTGGGTCTGACCAGTGGACCCCCCTTCCTCCAGCTTTTCCGGCTGCTCCGTCCTTGTCTTGTGGGGTCGGGGCTTGGGGAGAGGACTCGGTCTCGGATCTTGTGGTGAAGGACCTCGAGGCTGGGGAGGGGCTGACTTGGGGGCCTTGGGCCCCGCTGGACCCCGCCTGGGTTTTTCTTCCCCCTGAGCAGGGCTTATTGTTACAAGGAGTGGGGTTTTCTTTTCCCCCCTCTGCGTACGAGTTGGATTTGGTGTCGGCCCCTCCTCGGGTTCGGTTCCGTGTTCCCCCGGGTGCGTCGGTTCCGTCTTTCCGGAGGTTTTTGGCTTATTGCATCCAATCTGGTGTAATGCGGGCGGCCTTTGCAGCTTACCTCCTGTGTGACCCGGATTATGCCTCGGAAATGGATTCGTCCGAGTTCAGGTTTGGGACTTCGTTCCCTTTCTGGCTCCGTTACGAGGTTCCGGAGTCTTCTTGGCTAGCGGACTGCCCCTTGTTTGTTCTGGATTCCTGGCATTCCTTTCTGTCATTCCCGCACGCTGGAGTGGCGGGAAGCTTCCACGGTGATTCAGGTTTTCCTGGGGGGCGATCTTGAGTACCTGAATGAGTGCTTGTTTGCCCCTGCCCTTCCCCGCGATGTTGGTGTTATTCAGCTCCATGTGCAGGTTCCCACCCTTTCTGCGGCGCTCATTGCGGAGGACTTGCGCGCCCGGGGCTTTTGGCTTCAGCCTTGCAGTTCTTTTCCCTCCTGGAGCTGTCCTCGGATTGGCTTGTGGAGGATGTGAGGTTGCTTGGGTCCATCCTGGGGTCCGGCACCTTGTCCTCGGCTGCGTGTTCGTCGGCTGCCTTGTTGAAGCTGTTCACGCCGATTTTGCGGGATGCAGTTTCCCTGTTTTATGCTTCCCGTCTCACGTGTTGGCAGATGGTGCTGGGTTCCTCCGTGGAATCTGCTTGGGCTCTGGCTCTTAGGCGTTCTTCACCTTTTTGTCCTATTCTGTTTGAGCAGTCGGCTGTGGCGCAGTTTATTCAGGCTGCGTCGGTGGCTTGTCGTCCGATGTCGGACTTGTTGGTTTTCCGGGGGTCCCGGGGTGGGTCTTCCCGGAAGGGTCGTGCCAGGGCTCGGGGTTCCTCTCGTCATGGTAGGCCTCTGGTGTCAGGTTCGGGTTCGGCTCCTACTCCGGACCCTTCCTTGTCTGGTCGGCGTAGGAGCCGAACCCGAACTCTGGTCCCGCACAGAGTTCACTCTGTGCGGGGTTCTGGGTCTCATAAGGGTCGCCGGCCCTTTCGCGGTTTGCCCCATTGACGGGGCAATGGGGGGGAGGGCGGCTTGCGTTGTTCGCCCGCTCCTGGTCCCACGATTCGTGGGCCTTTCGGGTCGTGTGTGGCGGCCTGCGGTGGCGTTGGGTGGCCCCTCCCCCCTTGGGAGGGGTCAGGGCTGGCAGGACAGGTTTCTTCCCCTGCACTCTGTCGAGTCGTCTTGGAGTGGGTACGCTTGGGCGTCGTCGAAACGACGTCGTCCCTCAGATGGGTTTCCCGTCTGTTTCCGGTTCCGAAACAGGACTGCACGGACCTGCGGTTCATTCTGGACTTGTCCCGTCTGAACCCCTGGGTTCATTGCCCCTCCTTTCAGATGGCTACGCTGTCTCAGGTTCGGCTCCTCTTGGAGCCGGGTGCTTGGATGGTGTCCCTGGACCTTCGGGACGCTTATTGGCATGTCCCGATTCAACCGCGGTTCAGGGACTGGCTCGGTTTTGTTGTGGGGCGTCTAAGTTACAGCTTTCGTTGTCTCCCGTTCGGGTTGAACCTGGCACCTCGCGTGTTCACGCGCCTTACACGGGTTGTGGTGGCTCATTTACGTCTCCTAGGTGATCGGGTGTTGGCCTACCTCGACGACTGGCTGGTTTGGGCTCTCAGCTGGTCAGCTTGCTTGCTAGCCAGGGATTTGGTTCTTTCCCAGCTTGCTGGGTTCAGGTTCTTGGTGAACTGGAGGAAGTCCCATCTGGTTCCCTCTCAGGTTCCGAGTTGGCTGGGTCTCGTTTAGGACTCTCGAACCGCCTCCTTGTCTCTCCCTCCGGAGTCTCTCCTGCGGTTGTGGTCCCGCTTTCGTCTGTTTCTGGTGGGCCCTCGGGTCACCCGGCGGTTGCTCGAGGGGCTGTGCGGGAGCCTGAACTTCGCAATGGTGGTCTACCGCTGGGTCGGGTTTGGCTTCGTCGGCCTTTCTGGTTCCTTCGGAGTCCCCCCTTCTGCCTCTCTCGCGATCGCAGAGTTCGACCCCCGGGGGCCTTGCGTCAGTTGCTGCGTCACCGGTTTCCTTTTAGGGGTTTTCGGGGTTCAATGCCTTGGCGCCTACCCGAGCCCTCGCTCGATGTGTACACGGATGCGTCATCTCTCGGCTGGGGTTTTGTGACCAGTGCTCACCAGGCCGGCCAGGGGCGTTGGGATCCGTCCTTCCGTCGAGCTCACAGCATGATGCGGGAGTTCGCGGCAGTGTGGTTCGCTCTTGGGAGGATTCGGGTGGCCCGCGGATCAACGATTCGGCTCCATTCGGACTGCTCTCCGGTGGTTCATTGCCTGAACCGCGGGGGTTCGATGCGGTCCTTGTCTCTTTGGGGTTGGTCGCTTCGGGTGACTCGTCTGCTGAGTTCTCGGTGTTTGGCTCTCCTGGCGGTTCACGTACAGGGAGTGTCCAACGTCTTGGCCGACGCCCTGTCTCGCTTCGTTCCCCTCTCCATGGAGTGGATGGTCGACGACGAGTCTTTCCATTGGTTTTGCCAGACGTTCGGGCGCCCGAGGTGGACCTCTTCGCGTCGGCGTGGTCGCGGCGTCTTCCCGTGTACGCGGCGCCCTTCCCTGATCGCGAGGCCGTCGGGGTTGATGCCTTTCGGCTAGACTGGTCGAGGTGGGGGTTCCTGTACCTCTTTTCCCCAGTTCGGCTGTTGCTCCAGGTCCTGACTCGCTTAAAGACTTACCAGGGGAGAGTTGTCCTTCTGGCCCCTTGGTGGCCGGCCCAGCCTTGGTTTCAGGCGCTGCTTGCTCGGTGTCCGAACCCAGAGGTTTTCCCGCGGCTCCGCCTCTTTCAGCAGATCGGGCCGGTACGTCACGTGGCTGGTTCGATCTTCTCCTCGAGTCTTTGCGTATGGGTTTTTTGACTCGAGTTTATCATCATCTCTATAGTGATCAGGTGGCCTCCTTGTTGGTGTCCCACCTGAGGGCTTCTTCTCGGCGGCAGTATGAAGTTTCCTGGCGGTCCTTCTGTTTCCTTTTGCATCTTCGTCGTGTTAGTTCCATGTCTGTTTGGGTGGTCTTGTCCTTCCTCTCGTGGTTGTTTCAGGACCGTCATCTTATGCCTAACACTGTCGCCTCGTATCGTGCGGGAGCCGCTTCAGCTTGCCTTCAGTATCGATGTTACGTCTGCGCCGTTTCGCAAGCTGTCTCGTGCATTGTTTCACCTCCGGCCTGCTCATGCGCCGCCTGAGCCATCCTGGTCTTTGGACAGAGTGCTCGCTTTCCTTTTGTCTCCTCGTTTCATTGTGGCCCCTTCGGTCCAGGATTGTTTTTCCAAGGCACTTTTCTTGTTGGCTTTGGCCTCTGGGGGTCGGGTAGGGGAGCTTCATGCTCTCCTCCGGCGCAAGGGTTTCTGCTCTTTTGGTCGTTGTGATAGTTTTGTTCGCTTGCAGCCGTCTCCTTCCTTTCTGGCGAAGAATGAGAATGCTGCGTTCCAGAGGGGTCCGTGGGTGGTTGATGCTTGGTTGGTCAGGCCGGGGTGCATCATGTTCTGTGTCCGGGGACGCGCTGTGGGTTGATCCGGTTTCCCTTCTTCCCTGTTCACGGGTTCGGGTCTCTCAGGTCGTCCGCAGGGTTATTAAGTCCAGCCAGCCTGCGGTCTATCCCCGTGCCCATGACGTTCGTAAGTTCGCGGCTCTTGCTGCCGTCTTTGGGAATATGTCTTGGTCTGATATTCGGGCGCGGGGATTTTGGCGGATGAACAGGGTCCTGGCTGCTCGTTATCTTGTGAATGTCCCTGGGCCTCGTCGGGCCTGTGTTGCTTTGGGTCGGCGGTTGCAGCCAGTTGTCTCGGCTTCGAGTTGAGGAGTGAGCGACGATCGCCTCCCGGGTAAGTCCCTCTTTTTCCGTCTGTGGGTAGTTAGCTCCGGGGAGCCAACGGGGCTCCCCCCAGAAAACCAGCGTTGAATGTAATGAAACGCCATTTTCTGGGTGAGTCCCGGAGGCTCCCCGGCATCCCTCCCTCCCTCCGGTCGGCATTTTTTTCGCGTTTTTGACATCCAGCCTCAAGAACTGAGGTGTGGGTAGCCTGCGTGGAGGGTCTGGGGCTCCCCCTTCCACCTCCCGGGAAGGGGGGAGCTGTGCAGACAGCGGCGCGGCGGCGTGTGATGTCACACTAGTTTGCTTGTTTTCTGTTGGGGAGTTCTATCCACTAGTTCGGCTTTTGGTAGCAATTTTAACCAGAATAGGGGTTTGTTTTGAGGCACTTACCTTTCTGGGTGCCTGTTCCGGTCGATGGCAGACATAGAATGTTTCCAACAACACGGGGGCTTCTATAGGCCATTGCTCCCCTTGCCTCTCTGAGGGGGCCCGGTTCTGGCCGTGGTCCTCGGTAGGCCTAAGAACTCCATACACATGACTGATGCCAAAGTCTGACATTAGCATATCAGCCTGGGATAGCTCCGGAACGCCTCCGGGACTCACCCAGAAAATGGCGTTTCATTACATTCAACGCTGGTTTTTTAGATGCAACATTACACATTTTATTCATTCTGTCAACAGTCATCATGGGTACTTACATTTATAATTTTTGGAGGATTAGTTAGGGAAATGAAAAATTATATTCAAACAGTTACTGTATTTTGAGGCCTAAGCAAAAAATATTACCTTAGGAAGATGACTTCATGCTGGCTGCAAGTGAAATGCAACAAAGAATAGATTTTGAAGCATTTACAACAATGTTCCAAGCTGAATGGATTACATGTGCAACTAAATGGAGTGATTTTGGAAGAAGTTCTTTTTATGGAAGCAGTGATGCTATTGCTGCCACAGAAAGGTTAGTATTCTAGGCTATAGTATTTACATGCTTTATTCTCATTGTTAGTCATCTTATTCAATAATGAAATATGAATCATTTTGATCCAATATGCAAAATAATGTAGATTTAAAAAATTGTCTCACTCTTTAATCTAAATCCATAGATAATTCAGTTAAATTCTTACATTCATCCTATTATTACCTTATTCTTACATTCATCCTATCCTTACCATATTCTTACCTGCCCCTCACCTCTCATCTTACCTTATATATTTTCCTGTACCTTCCTCTCATCTATCACACGACTTGATAATGGAACAGGACAGACCAAAACGTCATCGCTTCTCCATCTTCTGAGTTGTGGGGTTTGGTAAACATGTAAAAGGATGTCAAGTAATAAGCTTCATGTATGTGAGAACAACCTAAAACAGTGATGTTAACCAGTAAAGATAAGGATTTGTGTATGTTGCTATTGGAACCTTCCCTATAATGGTGTGGATGTGACATAAAGATATCAAGCCATTTCTAGGTGTACAACTTGTACACAGATTTTCCAAACACTGTCTTATGACAATAAAGAAAACAGTCCCTTCTTTTAGCCTCCCTTGGTTGATATCCCTCTTCTAAATGACTATAGCAATGCCAGATACAGTATATTTATAACCAATAAATTATCTTTTAGGCTTTACCATATTACAACCATTATAATCTTCCAAATTCAAACTTAATGTTTCAATAGCCAATGAATCCAGTATCAATTAATCTTCAGGAATGAAACATGGTATAACATCCACTGACAAAAATTAATCTCCAAATTTCCATTATTATGAGACATGTAGAACAATGTGTTATGTTCTCCTGAAGCTGGGAATACATGGACACACTGTTGTGGTAGTTTGATTTTCATTACTGCATGGTGACCTGCATCTGTGTGAATCAGATATGCAGTTTATGGTATTTGTACATTCTGCAACGTCGACATAGAGTAGTTAATATGTGATAAGGCCACAGAAACATTTCATGAAATACTCAGTTTCATGTCCCAAAATGCTGGGTAACCATTAATAATCTGAGAACAGGAAGCTATGCACTCTCTCTTGTTTTATTTTGCAGTGGTTTTGTGAAAGTAGTAACCAGCCTGTATAACTCTGAAATGATAACTGGCCCAGCACTTGGTCTTAGATCAAAATTTTATTTTGTTTCCAGTCAGATGTATCTGTAGAAATACAATTAAATAATGGAATACATTATATTCTTTATTTTATTTTTGTGGTACTGACCAAGCATTATTAAATAGATAACCATGCCTTTGCTGCAGCTTTTCTAAATTATTTCTTGTAATTTTCTTATACACAATTACAATATATCATCAAGGTTTCAAGTTTATTTTTATACAACAATTGGTACAACTTTATCAATCTGAAATTCTTGGTTCAAGTACAAATTATAAGATATACATCTTTTTCATAAATCCATTTGATTGCTTCCATTATTAATCTACAGTATTTAACAATCCACTTTTGTAATGGGTAACTGTGACACCTACTAGACACATTAAAGGTCTAATGAATGGAAATGTTATAACTGGAAATCGGCTCTCAAGTTCCAGGCATCCGTACAGTTGTCATTTAAAACACAGGGATACAAAGGCTCTGTTATCACCCAGTTGTTGCTTCTTCACGAATCATATGCTTTTCCTTTTCAGGTTTTTCTTAAGAATACATCATCGATATTTGAAAGGCTTGCATACCAGGAAATCTCTAGAGAAGCTTTTAAGACTCATAACACATAATGTCATGGAATATAGAAAGTAAGTCAGTTCTGTTTTTGTATTGAATTTTGATCATTTAAAGTTGTTCAGTAGGTGGAGTAAAAGCATTACTGCAGCTCTTTCAAGTATTCCTCTGGTACACAAGTTGTATTTCTTGTTATTTAAAGTGTAACCCTTCAGGTATGTTCTCACCTGACCCTGTGTTTCTTATGCTCAAAAATATTAATTAACAAAATTCAAATAATATACTGTTGATACAACTTTTGTATGTATATATCTACAGTACATATTTGTTTATCTTCATATGAATATCCATGTATTCATATGAAGATACACACACACACACACATTATTATGTGTGTGAGAAGGATTAAGACAGAGGAGGACAGCTTGAGGCTTCAAGAAGACCTGGACAAGCTGCAGGAATGGTCGAACAAATGGTTGTTAGAGTTTAACCCAAGCAAATGTAATGTAATGAAGATAGGGGTAGGAAGCAGGAGACCAGATATAAGGTATCATTTGGGAGATGAAATACTTCAGGAGTCAGAGAGAGAGAAAGACCTGAGGGTTGATATCACGCCAGACCTGTCCCCTGAAGCTCATATCAAGAGGATAACATCAGTGGCATATGCCAGGTTGGCTAACATAAGAACGGCATTTAGAAACTTGTGTAAGGAATCTTTCAGAACATTATATACCACATATGTCAGACCAATCCTGGAGTATGCGGCTCCAGCATGGAGTCCATATCTTGTCAAGCATAAAACTAAACTGGAAAAGGTTCAAAGGTTTGCCACCAGACTAGTACCCGAGCGGAGTGGTATGAGCTACAAGGAGTGACTACGGGAATTGAACCTCACTTCGTTGGAAGACAGAAGAGTTAGGGGGGGGGGACATGATCACCACATTCAAGATTCTCAAGGGAATCGACAGGGTAGATAAAGACAGGTTATTTAACACAAGGGGCACATGCACTAGGGAACACAGGTGGAAACTGAGTGCCCAAATGAGCCACAGAGATATTAGAAAGAACTTTTTTAGTGCCAGAGTGGTTGACAAATGGAATGCATTAGGAAGTGATGTGGTGGAGGCTGACTCCATACACAGTTTCAAGTGTAGATATGATAGAGCCCAATAGGCTCAGGAACCTGTACACCTGTTGATTGACGGTTGAGAGGCGGGACCAAAGAGCTAGAATATGCAGCGGTTGTGTGGTGCCCATATCTTAATTTAATTTAATTAATTAAGCACATCAACAAACTGGAAAAGGTGCAAAGACATGCTACTAAGTGCATGTCTTTGCACCTAGTAGACATGCTCTTGCCCTTCAGCTCCCAGAACTGAAGGGCAAGAGCTACGAGGAGAGGTTAGAGGCATTAAATATGCCAAAACTAGAAGACAAGAAAAAGAGGTGATATGATCACTACATACAAAATAGTAACAGGAATTGATAAAATCGATAGAGAAGATTTCCTGAGACCTGGAACTTTAAGAACAAGAGGTCATAAATTTAAACTAGCTAAACACAGATGCTGAAGAAATATAAGAAAATTCACTTTCGCAAACAGAGTGGTAGACGGTTGGAACAAGTTAGGTGAGAAGGTGATGGAGGCCAAGACCGCCAGTAGTTTCAAAGCGTTATATGACAAAGAGTGCTGGGAAGACGGGACACCACGAGCGTAGCTCTCATCCTGTAACTACACTTAGGTAATTACACATACACACACACACACACACCTTTGTGTTGTCTTGGTAAGTACAATGTGGTCTATAGACCACTATTCTCCTGGGTCCGATGCCGAAAGAAGTGCACCCTCTATAGCTGTAAAGGTTCTGAGGCAGAGCCCCCATCCTGCCTGGGATGATGGATGCATTAACATCTAAAGATTGCAGTTAAAACTATTTGGCATCCATTCAGTGACAAAAATAACAATTATCACATTGTCACAGTCGAGTCTCTTCAAGATCATAATGTGGCACGAGCAACATTTATGAGATAATAAAAGAGCAGAGTAATGAAAGACTACAGGTATCATATCTGGGATTATTTTGTTAGGTGAAAAATATAAATAAACATTGAAAAAGAAACATTGCATTGCCACAGAAAGAATAATGAAGAAAAATGTTAGTTAATAAAGTGAATCAGGACCCCTGATTAGTCAAAAGCTGGGATATCAGAAGGCAAGAAATAGCTGCCATCAAAAGGAACTATGCAACAATATGCTCAGGAATAAGGGGAGCAGACAAAAGGACTAAGGACCAAGCTGAATCCAATAGTGGGCAAGGAGGGCATGCCAACATGCAAGGCGAGCAGTATAAAATGCTGTCACCACCTGCCAAAGGGTGGGTGCAATATCTTAGGGCAAGACCTGTGGCACTACAGTTCTCAAAGCCTTCACACCTGGAACCAAGCCAAGCCGAGTTAACGTCATCATGGAGCTGATCAGAAAAAATTTATGCTCCATAAAGGCAAAAGAAGCATGACCATCACCAAGTGCAAACGAGCCCTGTGATCTTCCGCAATAAGGGCAGCAGACAGCACTGGTAGTTGAATGTGAAGCTGCCACTTATCCACATCCTTGGCAAAACTGGGAGCAAACAAACAGTCCTCAAGTGGGAAATAAGGAGGGCTGCCCAAGAACACCTGAAGAACATTTGACACTTCACACCATTCAAGTGTATGGGCATGACAGAACCCCTGCCAAGCCTCCAAGATAAAAAAAAAGATAGGTCAGCCACCCAGGATGAATCTGGAACTTCATAATGTAGCCAAAAATGATGCCGACTTGAATTAAAAGGAAGCAGAGTTAGTCATGGCAGCGAGGTCCAAATTCTACAGGAAATACTGTACATCAAAAAGGTCTTCACATGCGACCGGAGGAAAAACTCGGGAATTGGGAACCTCTGGGAAGATGAATCCACAGGACTGAACGGCACAATAAGAGAACCTGTCTTTTGTGAGCATATAACCCTTCTCAGAATTAACAAATTAACAAGAAGAATCTATGGGCATCCAAGAGTCTAAATTGGCCTCCACTCCAATCCCCAGAAGCCTGCTATGAAAACTGGAACAGAGCCAGTCATTTTCCAATGCCTGGGAAAGAAAGGCATTCTCCAAGGAAGAATGCATGGAGGGAATATATGGTTGTGAAGGAGAAAACTCCATGACCTTGGTAGCTAGATGGCTCGGGTACCTCTGTGCTTGAGAACTAACCTCTGGAATTTGCAGTTACACCCAGGAAAAGAAGAAAATTGATGCTAAAACAAATCAGAATGATCACAATTGTTTATGGTAGTAGGATAAAAGAAAATTTAGAGATTCTGTTCATTCAAGGCAGTATTAAGAGTTAATACAGTAGATGTTCTGTATATGAAATAATTTGCTTAAATGTTTTTATTTTCAGTTTTGTTGATGGAATGGTGAATATGTCACTGCTGATGGAAGGAACAGCAAGTGAACAAGCAGGGTTACTACTCAACCAAGGGTGGTCTCAATTAGTTACGTGGCAAGGCAAGTGGATTGCTCTTGTCCCATGTCAGGATTTGTTGGAGACAACTTATCGGGTCAATCTAATTACAATGGAGTGCGAGTGTCCTACTGTAACATTTATGGGACCCTGTTTACACTTATGTTTGGCCACTGCTTTGGCTCAGTTAAGAGATGGGCCATCTCCTGAACAAGAACGTCACAGGCTTGCCTTAGAGGCATATGAAAATTCTGATTACGTCATAGATTGTGTATCATGTGTTACATTCCATAATGGAATAATTTGTGTTACAAAGCTAAAAACCTGCAAGTGCACATGTATAGCTAGTGCATTTGACATTGAGTGTGTTGGAATAATTCTACTGAAAATTACAGAAAGTGCAGAAGCAGCCGTTTCCTATACCGTACCTGATCCCAGCAATTCAGCAAGGTTATCACCCACTCTTAGTACCTCAACAAAAAATATTAATAATAGTGTAATATCAATTAAATCCAAAGAAGTTCCAGCCTTTACCATTACAATGGCATCACAAACTGAAAGAAATAATTCATCAGAAGACTCTTTTCATGTAATTCAAGAGCCAATTATCATTCAAACTCATACTGGAGTAGGAAAGAAATCAAACACTTTGCCTCAAGTAATGGCATGTGGAAGCTCAGAAGCAGCATCAAATAATCTTTCCTCTATCAACATTATTAAAAAGGAAAGGGATGACGAGTCATTTGGGTTCAGCAATTCTTCTCAAGCTATCATCGAAAAACTATATCAGTGGTCTAAATCAAAAGACTTTGCAGATTCTGTAGTTCTAAATGACATGCTAAAAGAAACTCACAATTTAATATGGGGGAAGCAGAAATCCTTACTTCCTAAACAACCAGAGCTAAAAGGCAGACAAATTAAGGAATTAGGAAACAAAAAACTAAGAGCAGTCATTCGAGCTGTTAAAAGGCAAAGACCCATTAAAGAGGAAGAGGACTTTGAGCCAACATCTGCCATGATGCCATCCACAAAAGTGAGCAGAAGTGGCAGAACAATAAAAATAAAAGAAGAACCTGATTTTATCATGTAAAAGTGTACTGTATTTTTTTAAATAAAAATATTAAAATTTTGATTCATTGTTTTCAATATCTGATATTTTATGCTTTTAAAATAATGTGTAGGTATACAGTATATATATTTACATTACTGTGTAACAACTGAAGCTGTTTTAAAATAAGTAATTGTATGGGAGGCAGTGGGATATGCCTTTGTACAAAAATTAGAGTCAAGTTGTAGTTTGACCTGACCCAAGCACGGGGCATCTCCCCTGGGACTGGCGGTTGAGATACAAAATGGCTGCCACCTTTGTCTTAAAGCAACGTATAATGAATTATTTTACAGAATTCAGTAATTTAGAGAAATTAGTCTTCATTCATATTGTATTCATACATACTCAATAGTATTCCTGCTTAAAGTATCAAGAGTATTCTAAATTGTCAGAATACTTTAGTAAGTCACCATCAGTGACGTCACTAGCGGGACTAGCCCTGGACGCGGAGCAATTTAGGTGACCTTAGGTCATAAGGGTCACCAAAGTCTTCCATATTTTAGTAATTCTCAAAGGTCAAATAGCCATATTGTAATTAGAAATAGCTTTTTCCTAAGATGCCTGTACAATTACCTTCAGTTTAAAAAGAGTTCAACCATCTGGGCTGTTCAGGGCAACAGAGATTAGTTGTTCACCTTAAACCCTGCTAGTAACTTAGTAAGCCAAGCGTAGGAATACCCCGCTGGCTTCTGTGTTGAGCAGAGCGAGGTAGGATCAGTGTGGACCGGTCATCAACTGAGGGAAGTCATCCACTCTCACCCTCTCCCTACATAGATCGGCATTACATCTAGCTGGTCGCCATAAGAGGTAGTCTGCTATAGTTTAGTATAGGAAATTAGTTCATCTCATGCCTTAAGGCAGGGAGTGCTTTGATTTAGATTTTGAATAAATTATTTAGTTAGTAATTTGCATTTTTATTATTTCCATTTCATGTTTTCATTCCTTATTGTCTTTTGTCACGTGGTTTCCACGAGTCTGAGTTTTGGTTGGGCCGCCAGCCCAACAACGATTAAGAGTTCAGCTATCCCTTGTGTTTGAGAATTACCCACACTTAACATAGATTCTTCCCTCCTATTCCAAATAACTGGGGATCAAGCCCCAAGGTTTATTGAGAACATAATCGGTCCAGATCTCAGTTATTGCTCCCAGTGTTAATGGTCTGGTGGTGGCGGCGTAAGGAGATTCTAGAGTTTGCTAGGGGTCTAGTTCCACGTCGTAAAGTCTGTAGAATCTTAGCCGGTCAAACGGCTTAAGACCACGTGGCGTGGGATTCGGCTTAGATTAGTAGCTCTGGGGTCCCTTGGTTTGAAGAGAAATAAATCAGAATACGGGTAGAAGTAAGGGGTTAAAGGATGGAGTAGAGACGTATACTCCCCCCCCCCCCCGTGTTACAACTGATAACCATCGACACAGCATAGATCAAAGTTAACCTCGGCAACAGTTTGCATTAATAAAATTTAAATTACTATAAAAAGGGATAAATGGGTTTCTGTCAACAAAAGAATCTGATCTTGACTCACTGGCTTGACTTGTGCATGAAATGCTCATCATGCTCAAATTTCACATATTTGCAAAGTGAAATGTTTCATACATTTAGTGGAACCTAGACTAAATGCATCACACTAATGGAACCCTTGACTTGTGGGAAAGAATATCCTACCAGAGAAAGGTAGGGAAGGGTATAAACCAAGGCAGCATTGGAGATTGATGACCGTGACCCCATCACGAAACTGCTCTACATGGGTTATATTCTACATCCTGCTCTTTTCCAAATATATAGGGGTAGCCCTTGACATTCATTACTATAAAACCTCTAATTAAAAATCCACATGTATCAGTTACTATACTGTAGTGGGAAAACAATATTAGGTTCATTTTAATTTTTGTTCTTTTTACTTTTTGCCCAATATAACACCTATTTAACAATATTTAATGTTTCTTCCACTTTCCAATAAAAAATGAAACAATGAAGTTCAGAGTCATTGGGATATTAAATAATGCAAGAATATAATTAAAAATGTTTGTAAAACAAGAATGTAGTGTACAAGCCTAAAAACTGTGAGAATGTGATTGACCTACTGTGACGGTGTTCCCCCCCTTATATTTCTCCCACGCCTGCAGTAAGAGTCATGTCCACTTTACCCAAGCGTTCTCTACGTCGCAGGCATCAAGTTGGTATATGTGGGAGAGTGGAGTGTTCTCGGAGTGCCGAGAAATTTGTGAAACAATAATATTTTGGCCTGTGGTTTAGGCCCTTTAGGAAGCCAAGATGGCGCTGGCTCTCCTGTTTCCCCGCCAAAACTGTGTGACGTCAGTGACACCGGATTGGTCACCGACAGCAATATGGCACAGGGAGCCAATGAAAACCTCCCGTGGCAAATGTGACGTCACGAAGGAAGGGGGGTCCGGGCAGGGCAGCGCGCCGCGTTGGCGCCATCAGTCAGACACAACACGTCAAGGAGGTTGGACGTGCGAAGATTGGTCCTGTCAGTTTGACAGTTGTTTCCCGCTCCCGTGGATTTACGCGTCACCTGAAGTCTGCCAGTACTCTGTGAGGTCTTCCTTCGTTCATGTGTTGAACCAGAGAAGGAATCGACGGATATTGAGCAACAAGTGCTCCAGGACAGGTACTGTGCAAGAAGAAGTGAAGTCTGTGCAGTGATGTAGACGACGTCTGAGGCAGTTCACCCATTCGTGACGGCGTAGTGGCTGAACAGAGCCACTGGGTAGCAGAGGAAGAAGAGGGCTATTTGGGAATCCGAACGACTGCAGCCGAGAAGTAGGCGGGCAGCCGTAGCTGGGAGAAGTCGACGGCCGGGAGACCGACTCCAACCCTACAAGAAGTCGAGGAGGAGCACGGACCTGCAGGGATAAGGCACGGAGACGACGCGCTTACGGTGGGACATTGATTGAGTTCCTGGAGGACACGACAGCGTGTGTGTGGGGGCGTTCCCGACACGAGGCAGGAGCCAGGACCAGGAGCTACAACTCAACTCTCATCGAAGGATAGGTGGAAGTAGGTGGTTCTAGTTTCCCTCCCAATTCTCCTTTAGTCAGCTATATTATTCGGCTATATTATTTAGCCTGAGGATTTTGTATGTCGTGAGCAAGGCTCACCTATGTCACAGTAAGGCACCAGTGTGCAGAATAGTACTATCAAGAGTACTCACGATATTCATGTTTATTATTGGTGTGTACAGGCACCCGGATTAAGTGATGAATTTACTGTGTTGAGAATGTCTTTCATGAGACTTTAATTGAATCATATAGTGAGAGTATATATATAATATTATGCCAGTATTTGGAAGTTAGGCTATGTGCCCAGTAACTATTTTATTACCATTTATTGATGTTAGATTTATCTATATATATTATATATGTCTATGTTCGTGCATTGAATAAGCATTCATGTGTGCAGTGATTAATTGTGTTATCGCCCACGAAAGGAAATACTGAGAACTCCAGTGTTAAATACTTCATAAGTTATCATTAAATGAAGGGCAGTGTGAAATACCATTACAGTGAATTATTGTCGCATTTATTATAGAAACGATTGTTTGAGCCCGAGAACAGTGTAGCGAAGTAATACGTGCTGTTGTCGCAAATATCGAGTGTTCGAACTTCTAGTGATCTTTGAGAACTTAAAGAAACAGCGCGCGTGACGCCAGAGAAACAAGCAATAAACATTCGCGCGGGGGAAGTCGCCCAGCTGATTATGACAGTGACGAGAGGGGGAGTGTTGCCACCTTAGCGAGTGCATATTATACGTGGGAACGAACGACTCCCGCCTGGATCAGCTGATTGTTTATTGATATGACCTTGTGACATCTTTGAATGAGTTTTAAGTAAAATACAAAATACATTTGTGTTTATATCATCCCCTCCATTTATTTTGTGGCTATATAACACCTGAAAGCAGAGAGTGATAAAAGTAAGTACCTGCCTGATTCCTGATCTATTGAGTGTGTCCTTGCCACGGTTACCACAACTCAACAAATCCACTGACGTGTTACTGGACACCGAAAACACCAGTTGGCGACCTTGTGGTTAATAGTAGAGCCCTATTGTTGGGGCGGGCACATAACAGTTAAGTGAACGAGTTGTGTTCCCACTCCTTCTCAATCAGAGGCCGGTTGGGATTGACTGGGATACTCTCCTGGCGTACAGTGGCGCCGAGAGGATTAGAGTGAAGACCCGCAGGGCTACGGTGAGTGACCTTGAAGTATACTGTTGCTCACCCGAGTTTAGTTGAAGAATCCCCAACACTACTTATTATCATAAATTATCTTAGCTCAACCAACTTGCTAACAAAATTCACTGGCACATTTCGAATCTTAGCATAACAGTGCTTATTTGTGTATAGCCATATCAGTGTTAAATAATATTGTACCATACAAATTAAAGGCTGCATATAATGTCTTCCTTGGATAAGGTATTTGCCATGTGTAGAGTTTCACCAAAACTGGAGTGCCTTAATTTTTCTTCCCCAGTATCCAACATCCAATCTTCCCATTATTTGATAGGTATGACTAATGACTTTTTAAACGTTAAAAATTAAACTCCACATATGTAAATAACTTGTTACACAAGCATTCCTTAAGAGATACAGAGAGCACAAATATTTATGAGGAGCTCTCAAAGTTGAAGAGCTTAATGTATTAATTCCTGTCATTAATTTAAACTTAAAATTAATGATGGGAATGTATTTTTTATATATTCTGAATGAAGGGACACTTCATTATGTATATACATAATGGAAAACAAGGGGCTGTAAGCCAAACAATGAAACACTGGGATCAGAGAACAAAAATTCTACAGAAAGTTTCAATTCATTCAGCAACATGCTGAAGTACAGTAATTCTGGTAATGTCTTAAATTAGAATTAACTTGTCAAAATGAGGGCAATAAAAAAAAGTGTGGTTACACATTTATCATAATTGTATTTATTAAAATGTTTGATGCCTTTTATATGTGAAGGCTGAAAACCCTGAGAATTTGGCTTCCTTCAAAAGGTAAATTTGGTCAGGTTGAACATGGGAATACTGTACAGTATTTAATTAAAAATATACAGTATGTATCTATCAGCAAAGACAACTCTAATTCTTAAATACAATACTTCTAGTACCATTTACATTCTGAATTCTTAAAATAACTTTTGAAAGATGATGCAGACAACTACTGCATTACACTGTGTGTGTACAATACAGTAATTTAATTTCCATGAAGATTCCATTGGTAGCCAAGTCCCAATTCAACAAAATGTTGTACTTTTTACTAAATTACACTACTGTACTCCATTATTATATATAAAAGAATTATTACAAAAATAACTTCAAATTCAGAACCAAACATCAATAATGAATTTATTAGTTTTTATTAGGTGAATTATTTTCTTTAAGTGTGATAGTTCATGTGTGAGAGGATAAGTGGTGTCTAAGTTTTTCTGAATGTGATAATCTCTATAAGAATATCAATAACGGCACGCATTATAAGTGGAGAGAAGCCATGGGTCATTAGGTTGAGATCCGTGTCTCTAACTTCAATTTCCTTCAGAATGTCTTGTAATAGTTCCCTGAAAAGATTGAGCAAAGATGTACAGTACTGAAAAAATTATAATGCAACAACCGAGACATCATAAACCAAGAAATTTATATTTAAATTTATATTTCTCTACCTTTTAGTAAAAATCACAAATCAGAACATTGAGTGTGGCAGAATTAAACATTCATCAACTTGTGTCAAGAAAAAAAGTGAATGTGTTCCATAAAGGTGTTTGTAACTATATTTCCCATAGGTACAATTCTATTAATGAGACATACATTCCTGGACCACCAAAAATTATCATATAAAACCAAATTTTGGGAGACAAATATGATAAACTGCACATTATTAGAGTTGGCAATTTTTGAAGCATGGAGACTTCCAATTATTGTTGTAAGAACACTTGCTTATCTCTGGCTTCATTTCAAGAGTAAAGGATTGCTTCTTCCTTGACACTTTTTTTATTAACAGGTATACACAACAATGTGTTGATAACCTATTCCATATGAAAAATTACAAAGTGTAGATCAGAAACTAGCTAGGAGTTCATTTCTAAAACAGAAATTCGGGTTAAAAGGTTATACACATCATTATCAAGTAAACAGTGGGAGATGTATGAATTCTGCCCAAAACATGATGCGTGTTAGTGGCTTTGCAAGAATGTAAGAACACCAATATTATGTACTCTCACAACTCAATATACCTTCACGTATATAAATAAATAAATGTTGATTGTGGTACAAATTTTTTTTAATTTATTAATTTTTGAACACTCCTGGTAAAGGTTTGGCTAGCTTAAATAAAGGATTACCAAGCATAGACAGTACTGGTTGATACCTGGTTGATGGGGTTCTGGGAGTTCTTCTACTCCCCAAGCCCGGCCCAAGGACAAGCTTGACTTGAGAGTTTGGTCCACCAGGCTGTTGCTTGCAGCGGCCCGCAGACCCACATATCCACAATAGCCCGGTTGGTCTGGCACTCCTTGGAGAAAATGATCTAGTTTTCTCTTGAAGATATCCACGGTTGTTCCGGCACTGCTATTACTAATTGCCTTCTTAAATATTTCTACTAGATTGTCAAAAAATAAATAAAATAGTATGATATTATAGTATGATAGTATGACACACATCTTACTTGGTCATGTTAGCCTGCATTTCAAATTGATCCCAACCACCTCGTGAAGCTATAATCTTTTCGTTTATTTCTTTTAGCCGTAGATTTTTTGAAGCCAAGTAAAAGTAATCTTCAGCAAGCTGGGATGCTTCAGCTGAAAAATAAAAAACGCCCTTTAAAAAACATTCTTAATCAGGTGTAAATATATCACGTGATAAATAGTTCTCTTAATTCATATTTTCCTATTAGAATGGCTCTGCACAAGTGATTTATGTAATTTGAAGTCATCACTAATAGAAATAGACATGTATATTTGCTATAACATGGACAAAAGTGTGTTTTATCATTTGCACAAAATGTTTCTTATTCTGTCTTTTTGTTTGAGCAAGAGTACAATATAGTACTCTTACTCAACAAGAAAGCGGCAAATGCCCAACAGAAAAGTGACACATGCCCAACAAGAAAAGTAACACATGCCCAACAAGAAAAGTAACACATGCCCAACAAGAAAAGTAACACATGCCCAACAAAAAACTGGCAAATACCAAACAGAAAAGTGACAAATGTCCAACAGGAAAGGGGCAAACATCAATATACAAAGTTTTCAAACAGTTGCGCATTACCTATATACAAGTTTACCATAAAAAACCTACCTTCTGTGAGTTTTGTGAAGCAGGAAATGACAGCAGATTTAGATGTCAATTTCTTTATACCATTCTTAGCAAGAGTCTGCTTCAGTTCCCTTCCCTTTTCTTTGCTCAAGCGTAGAAGAGAGAGCAACATAGTCTGGCTGCAAGGAAATTCACATTAAAAAATTACGATAAATTCACGTGACACATTTTAACTTCCTTTTAACTTTTCTTCACTGTCTCTTTCTTAGGAATATACAATAGTCTACAATACATATTTTACATTATTCTTTTACTCTGTTTTGCATCCTCAGCAAAGTACAGTACACATTTCACTATTGTTTAGCTACTGTATCACATGCAACTTCTCCCTTAAGTAATGATCCACTGTGTCAAAGACAGGATCATACAGTCAGGCAGGCACCACATGGAATTAAATTTTTTAAGCAGTCTCTACTAGGTTATTATAGGAGCTAGGGCAGGAAACCTTTCATCATACGAAGGCCACATTTCACTTGGCAAAGACTTCATAAAGCCACACATTGTATTAAATGCCTTATACATTCAAATATGTGGAAAAGAAACTTTCAATAATCAAGCGTTTCAATAGTTTAACGAAAAAGTGCAATGCTGGCCATATATACCAATGTATTTTGTAATATAATTAGAGGCAACACTTTTAGTACAACAGGAACGTATTTAATTAATTTTACTAGGTCTGGGGAAAAGTTTTTATTTTATTTTAAAGTCTGACTATTAAAGCATTGCAAGTTTTAAACTGAGTTGCATTATAATCTTATTGCTCATTATACAAGGTTTTACTGATATTTCACAGGAATTTTAAATTGATTTCAAAGGCCACACAGAGTACCTTAAAAGATCACGGATTCCCCACCCCATGCCGGGGTGCACTGGAAATTATTAAATCCAGACTGCCTGGATACCTATGCCAATTGCCATCAAGCTGCAACTCTACACCCAGTTATAAAAAAAAAATCAATTTTTCATCAAGGGACTAAGGCTTGTGTATATTGAGAAACCTTAAATACAAAAGATAAACAGTTTGAGTATTATTATTTAAAAGTGATCAATATGGAATATTATGTTTCTGAGCGTTAATTAAAATATCGAAGTATTTTAATAATCATCTATAGTAATCCAATGTCCCTGGGTGATCAGATGCTAAATTATAATGTGATGTAGATTAATACTGTACTGTAATATGTTTTAAGATTATTACAAGTGAAAGTGGGTATAATATAGAAGAAATATACTGTACATGTTTATGGAGGTGAACTTTATCTAAAATGGGGCAAAAACTTCTTTAAAGCCACAGGCGCTAAAGTGGGCAATCTCTTGGACCAAGCCGAAACTTTGACCGTCGACATATTTTGGTCAGTATCCCAAAAGTACTGCAACTGCATCACAAATTCATTGCTTCTCTTTCAATTTACACTATAAATGTTAACAAAATGTTAAATAGAAAAATTACCTAAATAAAAGCTAAAAGTGGTTTAATTAACCAAGGACTGGTAACTTTCCACTGTGCATACAAACAAGTGACATACGGTAAGGTAATTATCAGGAGAAAGCACTAAGCCATTATGACTATACAGTATAGCACTTGGAAGGGATAAGGATTTAGGATAGGATGGAGGAAAGGAATGGTACCCAACCACTTGGATGGTCAGAGATCGAACGCTGACCTGCAAGAAGTGAGACTTATCCTACCGCCTAGTCCAAGCGGCTAATAGATGACGTAATCACTACCACAGATGCACTGTACCTTACTTTGCTCTATTACATAACACTACATAGAGCACTTGTTTATAAATATAGTAACGTATAAGGTGCAGCGTTTCAAATGCTAGTCATTATTTGCTTAACTCTCAACAAAGCAGTTTTAATTCACTACACGAAAGAAAGACAATTGTGAAAGTGCATGACAGTACTTTCTTACCTGAGACACTCAGGAGGTCCAACCCGTCGATGCAGCTCATCTTGAGTTACTGTGATTCTCTGTTGCTCTTTACGAATTGTCAGTAAAGCTGGTACCCAAAATACTAGCTCTGCAACACAACCACAACCAGCAATTTAAGGTGATTTAGAAATTTGCTACTTGTACAAGAGGCTTCCTAATTTCTTTTCATACGCTAGACCTATGAAATGTGTTTATTATGTAATAATAAATTTTGCCCTTTCTAAATTATATATTGGAATGCTTGAAAAGGTATTACTACATCACATATGACAAAATAGCACAAATTACAATATTACAATATTCTACAAAATTTGCAGGTGACAAAAAGATTTATGATAAAGTGGGAAATGATAATGATGTTGAAGCCTTACAAAGAGATCTGCAGGAACTCTATAAATGGTCAGATGACTGGCAAATACTTTTTAATATTGACAAGTGCAAGATCCTGCGTGTGGGGCATAACAACCCGCACCACAACTACCAAATTAATAACATTACATTACAGCAGATTGATAAAGAAAAGGACCTTGGAGTCAAAATCTACCACTCAATGAAAGTTGCACAGCAGGTAGGGGCACCATTAAAATAAAAGGTTAACCAAACCCTAGAAATAATCAAGCAAACCTTTGACTATAAGGAAAAGAAGGCAGTTATTCTACTGTGTAAATCTCTGGTGCACCCGACTTGGATAATTGTTTCCAAACCTGAAGACCTCATCTTCAGGAGGATTTAGAGAAAGTTCAACACAGGGCAACAAAAATCATTCCAGAACTAAGTCGACTTTTGTACCAGGAAGGGTTGAGAGCCACAGGGCTAACAACACTGTAAACCAGGCCTGACAGGGCAGATCTCATTGAAACTTTTAAAATACTAAACAATTTGGAGGATGTTGATCCAGACAATGTCTTCAGAAGCTCTAATGTAACACAAACAAGAAGCAAAGGTTTCACGCTTAACAAGCCACAATGTTGGACTGAGAACAGCAGATGATTTTTCACCCACAGGATTATTAACCCGTGGAACTGCCTACCCGCAGAAGCCGTTAATGCCAAAACTTTGTTAACTTTTAAATTACAGCTGGAAAGGTTCATCAAGGCAAATGGGGGGATCTTCGACTAGCCACTGGCTTCCTGTCCTCGTTGAGGCCACTAGTGTTAGTGGCTCTCAGGGTAAGCTTGGGGTAAATAACTTACTCCAGGTGTGTATTACTGACTGGCAAAGAAAGAAGCCCAAAAATAATTTGTTACATAAACCTTAATAAATCAGAACATTGCTCATTTATTTCCCCCATTTTTGTTGGAGACAGGAAGCCTGTATATATATATTTTGATACAAGCCGAAAGTATATACTGTATATATGTATATACTTTCGGCTTGTATGGAGGTCCCCTTAAGGTTGAACTACTGACCTTCCCCAGGATGGAATCCCACAACAGTTGCCAAACTCCCAGGTATCTTTTAACTTCTAGGTGAACAGAGGCATCAGGTGAAAGACAATGTGACCACCCATTCCTGTCGTGCGTGGGGACCAACTCACAGATCTTCAACAATTGTGTGTGGGGAACGCTGCCACTGGGTTAGCCAGACCCGTTAGGTAACCTAATGTGCCTATTGAAGCTATGGGGGGTTTATACCTTTGTTGCCCCGAGACGGAGCCTGTTGTGCCGTGTGGGACTGGTCGTCGTGCGACGTCTCGCCATCGTCCCCGACGACGTGCGACGCCGCCTCCTCGTCGTCGTTGGTGACGTGCAGCGCTGCCTCGTCGTCGTCAAGGGTGACGTGCGACGTTTCTTCATCGCCGTGGGTGACGTGCAACGCCACCTCGTCGTCATGGATAATGTGAATGATCTCCTCCTCATTCGCGGAACTGCTCGAGTTGAGGATTTCCTCAATAATTTCTTCCCGAGCGGCCATTTGTGGTTCCCGGAACTGGTCGCCGCCGCCGGCGCCGCCCCCACTATCTCAACTCAACCTCAACATTAACATTTAGCTTCTAAATATTTATTACATAAATACATAAAATAAATAAAAAAAATGCCAGTTCTGGGACCCCCAGTAAAAGTACACTCAGTTGTTATAGACCCATGGAACCGCCTACCCGCCGAAGCCGCAAATGCCAAAACGCTGTTAACTTCTAAAGTACAGCTGGAAAATATCATCAAGGCAAATGGGGGGACCTTCGATAAGCCGCCGGCTTCCTGTCCTCATTGAGGCTACTAGTGTTAGTGGCTCTCAGGTAAACTCAGGTAAACAGTGAAACTCCCGGGAAGTTTGGCCGATCGCATGCTCAACACATTCATATATATCACCTTTATATTGCAGATTTTAAATGTCAGTTAATTACATTAATGATAGAATTAAAATATTTTATTTCAAGGAAATATGTGACCATAGTCGGTCAGAGGATGTTTCACATATTCTTGGAATGAACTCTATTGGAGAACGTCCAGCGCTTTCTTGGGAGCAATTTTCTCGTGTCTCAAGACAATAATAATAATAATAATAATAATAATAATAATAATAATAATAATAATAATAATAATAATAATAATAATAATAATAATAATCACATTAAAGTGATCTATCAATGAGAAAATCAATTGGAGACACGCAGAGGATTCGAACCGATACGTAGGGTAAATTAGTTTAATTATTTATTTATTTATTTATTTATTTATTTATTTATTTATTTATTTATTTATTTATTTATTTATATATATACAAGAAGGTACATTGGGTTTGTAAGAATACATTAAATAGTACAGTATTTACATTCTTGTAAAGCCACTAGTACGCGCAGCGTTTCGGGCAGGTCCTTAATCTAGCAGATAATTTTAAGTAGGTAATTTCAATCAGAATTGATAAATGATAAAGATACATTACAAGAGAAAAATGAGATGAGAGAGATAAGTAAGTATATTAAAGCACATTGTTATATTAAAGCTCTGATTGATTACATTGACAGCTTGATTAGTAATTTAAACAAGATTAATAGACACCATACAGCAGATTGACAGCACATATAAAACAGCAATGATCACAATGGTAAAGATGTTCAGAATGGGTACATAAAGATTGGGAGACTGGGTAGCAAAAGATACAGATAAACAAGATTTATAAACACCATACAACAGATTGGCAGCACATATAAGAAAACAGCAATGATCACAATGGTAAAGATGTTCAAATTGGGAACATAAAGGTTGGGAGATTGGGTAGCAATTGATACAGTGCAATTTTAAGGCAAAAAGTGAAAAACTATGAAGATGAAATTAGGTACTTTTTAGTATTGATTTTGAATGATGTAAAAGTTGGACAGCTTTTCAATTCAGTAGGGAGTGAGTTCCATAAACTGGGTCCCTTTATTTGCATAGTGTTTACACAGATTAAGTTTAACTCTGGGGATATCAAAGAGATATTTATTTCTGGTGTGGTGATAATGGGTCCTATTTCATCTGTCCAGGAAGAGTTTCAGACAAGGATTTGCATTTAAGAACAGGGTTTTGTAAATGTAGTTGAGCGCCGTGGGAAGAGCCTACTTTCAAAATAGTAATAGAAAGTCTCCCAATGAAAAAGGCTGCCTATGATCCGACAATCCTAAGGCGCATAATAGAAGAGCAAATGTATAGCATAGCAGTAGCAGGAGCCACCCACATCTTCACAGACGGATCGGTGGACACAGAAAATGAGAGTGCTGGCGCTGCTCTTTGCACGACCAGCGTTCAGGCATATTGGAGACTGGGAGGACTAGTATCATCAACCCAAACTGAGCTGTTTGCCATACAACAGGCATTCGCATATGTGATTGCACAAAACACTCAAAATGCAATCATACACACAGACTCAAAAGCTGCACTTCAAATACTAGGACAAAAACAGTGGAAAGATAATGTGGAAATAATTACCACCATTTTGTATCTTGGAGCAGTCGCTAAAGGCAAAGGGCTCAACATAACTTTAAACTGGATCCCATCCCATATTGGAATCCCATTAAATGAAAAAGCTGATGAAATTGCTAAATTGGCAACTCGTCATCCAGTGATACATAAAACAATTCACCCCAGCCTAGAGAACATAAAAAACATCATCACCAAAAAACTCTCACATCTCAACAAAGCCTACCTACACCAGAGAATAGCTGAAGGTTCGCCATCTGCAACATGGTATCTTCAGGCAACCAAATTAGAAAGGTTAAATATCCCAAAAGGAATCCACAGGGAAATAGCAGTTAGGCTATATAGATTACGTCTAGGTTACAGATGCAACTGGGAGATTGGTGAACCCCGACAGAGAGAGTGCATCTTCTGCCAAACTGTCACAGAAAAGCCATTACTTCACTATCTTCTGGAATGTGAAGCAACCAATGACCTTAGAAGAGCTTTAAGAGTTCCTGAATCATGCAGTGGCCACCCTGAAGCCATCAACACAGCCACTCTCCTGGTCAACAAAGGTGTCCAGCAGCTGGACACCCTCATAAAGACTGTGAAGCAGTATCCTCCCCCTCGATAACAGCTTGATGGTTAAATGCAACCTCAGAATACTGAGAAAAAAAAATGTACCACTTACGGGCTATTCATGCCCGTGCCACCTCTTGGGTGGCTTAATCTTTATCAATCAATCAATCAATGTAGTTGACACAAGAGAATTTGTGGAGTGAGATTATGTTTAGCATGTTTAGGGAGTTAAACAAGGGGGCTGTGTGTTGTCTGAAAGCAGAATTTGATATTATTCTGATAGCAGATTTTTGCTGGGTGATGATGGACTTGAGGTGGTTTGCAGTGGTTGAACCCCATGCACAGTAGTTAGTTTAGTTCATTTATTATGCACCCCATACCCATCTTGTGGGCGGTAGTGGAAAGGGTTACAGAGGCACATAATGGGCTCAGGGACTGAACCCCACAATTCATTTAGCTAAGCAAGTTACAATCTTGATGAGCTAGTTACAAAATTCAATATAAGTCGTCACATCAACAATGGGTTCGAGATCGACCTCAAGTACAGTTTCTAAATTAAGCAACTGACATATGTGGAGAGCTAGTGTCACAATTGATATGTTTGTCCTGCACACCGCCCCCCATCCAGTGGGCAGCGGTGGATAGGTTACAATCACTCAGTTACTACCTACAGTTAGCAAACTGGGGATATTTGGCTAAAATTTCTGGTAGCAGATCATTTTGAATGAAATATTTACACATCTCTGGAACATTGGTTATAGAATTGTCTCTGAATTCACGTATCTTTTCGCACTCCATCACATAGTGACGGAGGGTGTGCGAATAATTTTGTTGACACAGTTTACATTTGGTCAGGTCTACATCAGCAGATGTACTCACCTAATTGTGCTTGCGGGGGTTGAGCTTTGGCTCTTTGGTCCCGCCTCTCAACTGTCAATCAACTGGTGTACAGATTCCTGAGCCTACTGGGCTCTATCATATCTACATTTGAAACTGTGTATGGAGTCAGCCTCCACCACATCACCTCCTAGTGCATTCCATTTATTAACTACTCTGACACTGAAAAAATTCTTTCTAACGTCTCTGTGACTCATCTGGGTACTAAAGTTTCCACCTGTGTCCCCTTGTTCGTGTCCCACCCGTGCTGAAGAGTTTGTCTTTGTCCACCCTGTCAATTCCCCTGAGAATTTTGTAGGTGGTTATCATGTCTCCCCTTACTTTCCTGTTTTCCAGGGATGTGAGGTTCAGCTCCTCTAGCCTTTCTTCGTAGCTCATTCCTCTCAGTTCCGGGACGAGCCTGGTGGCATACCGCTGAATCTTCTCTAACTTTGTCTTGTGTTTAACTAGGTATGGACTCCAGGCTGGAGCTGCATACTCCAGGATTTGTCTTACATAAGTGGTATACAGGGTCCTGAACGATTCCTTACACTAGTTTCTAAAGGCAGTTCTTATGTTGGCCAGTCTAACATATGCCGCTGATGATATTCTTTTGATGTGGGCCTCTGTGTGATATCAAACCCCAGATCTTTCTCTCTATTTGACTCTTGTAGGATTTCCCCTCCCAGATGATACCTTGTGTTCAGCCTCCAGCTCCCTTCGCCTAATTTCATTACCTTACACTTTCCTGAGTTGAACTTTAGCAGCCATTTTCTAGACCATTTCTCCAGTTTGTCCAGGTCATCCTGAAATCTCTGTCTATCTTCATCCGTCTTGATTCTTCTCATAATTTTAGCATCATCAGCAAACATTGAGAGTAACGAGTCAATACCCTCTGGAAGATCGTTTACATATATTAGAAACATGATGGGTCTATGTACTGAGCCCTGTGGGACTCCACTGGTGACATCTCGCCACTCTGATGTTCAAGTTCAAGTTCAAGTATGTTTATTGAGATAAGCAATAAATACATCTCAAAGGGATAGAGTAGCTTAGGCTATTTCTACCCCCTCTACTTCAAGTCCCTCAAGGGGCGCACAAATGCTGTGAGTACAAATAGACAAATAACAGTACAAGAATCCCATTTAACATTGCAGGTTAATATAGTAAGTACAGCATATAATTGTTACACTCTTGGGGCAAAATTCTTGTAGCTCCTAAGTATACTGTCTATCATACCATTATCACACATCCAAACAATTTGATGTGGTACACTATTTATTTCCTTATTTCTATATTTTTCAATAAGTTGACACTCTAATACATAATGTTCTAAGGTGTGGGCGTGCGGTATACTACATAATTTACACTCCTTATCTTTTTCACTGACATCAACACCGTATTGCCAGATATATTTGTATCCTAATCTTAATCTCATGTAAATTGAATCCTTCCAAGTAGACTTTCCTTTACCATAAGTGAAGGACGAATTTGTATTTATTATTGAATAATTCTTAAGTGTGTTACTACTGTCCACCATTGCCATTCTCTTTATCATTTCTTCACCCTCCTGGATCATCTTGATTCTTGTTTTTATTTGTTTCAAGGTTAACTGACATACAACATCAACAAGAGTTTTTTCAGTG